ATGATCTAGTCACTGATCTGAAAAGTCCTGTCTTGAAAGAGCCTGTTCAGATCCATACATTGACTCAGTTACTTTCATTATACCAAACTGTCTGTAGAGACAAACAAGAGCCTACGATTGATATGTTTGTGACAACCTTGATTGTAAGTAGCTGAAAAGTGCATCTATTGCTTAGTTTGTAATTGATTAGGCACAACCTCATGCTGCATTTCTTACTCGACTTGATTTGTCAAATCAACCTCTTGATCGAAACAATATTGCACCCTTTTCTGAAATCATGTCGATAGAGTTTGGTATGCGTGAACTTGTATTGGATGGCTGCGGGCTTGAAGACAGTGTAATAATGCGCTATTGGCTTGTTGATAGTACTGACAATGTATGTAGGCTATCAAGATACTGATGCATAGTTTACTTGAGAACGACAAGATCAAACAGCTTAGTCTTGCCAATAATCCCAAGATATCTACTACTGGGTTCAAGTACATTGCAGTCTATGTCAAAGGGGTAATATTCAATTCATATTCACCTATTGAAGGATGTTGATATTCATCGATAGAAAGTCTTCTCAACTGACCACGTTGAACCTTTCTTATACACAACCTGACAAGAAAGCCATTGAATATTTGATGAATGCCATTGTCAAGTCAACGCCTGATTCAACCCGTCCTTTTTTGTCCTGTTTAGTACTGGACAATTGTAATTTGAGAGTAGCTCAATTAGAAGTGCTTGCAGCAGGAATCAAGAAACCAACTTGTTTGCGCCAATTGTTTATCAGCCATCAACGTATGTTAAATCAGCAAGGTGCTCTATCCATTGGTGTCATGCTTCGTGATTATGATACAACAGTCTATCATGGACTACAGAGACTCTGCTTGGATCATAGTCCTATGAACTCAAATGGTATTCAGTATATCACACAAGCATTAAGAAGAAATCAGAGTCTACGTTATTTATCGATGCAAGACTGTAACATTGATTCTGCATCATGTTATTTGCTGGCAGAAGCTCTTAAATATAACCAATTTCTCGAGAAACTTGATCTTGCATGCAATGCATTGTGTAAGCCCACAATGGAAGGAGTAAGTGATAGTGTTGTTTTCTTGTTTGTTAACTTCGAAATTAGATGACCCATATTACACAAGCATTGACTATCAATCGATCTTTAAAAGACTTTTGTCTGGCAGAGACAAAAATATTTACTGAAGGTATAATTGCCTATATCAACATATACACTGGCTGACTTTCATGGGTAGCTATTATCATTCTTGCAGAATGTTTGGCTGAAAACAATACACTGATAAGACTTGATCTATCCCGAAATCCTGATATTCAAATGGCTGCATTAATGGCACTTGCTGCCTCTGTTCGTAGGAATGATACAATCACATTTATTGATATTCATGTTCCTGTATGTTATCTAGTTGTCTATGCTACTACTTACACTTACTCTAGACACAGGATAAAGAGATGGTCTCCATTCATAATGACATACTGTCTAAATGCACAAAGAATGCACAAACCAGGAAATCAGATAAATCAGTTCGATCAGATAACCCTATTTATGCCACCACTGCTCAAGCAACAGCTCGATTGACATTAAAAGAAAGACTAGCAGCAGTAACAGGAGCAAAGAAGCCCATCCATGATGATGCTGCATTGATTCAACAAGCATTAGAGCATATCACATCATTAGAAGGATCAAATCCATCTGCAAATATACTCTATGCTTCTCAACAAACGCTATCCAACATAAGTACAAGAATACCTGAAGTTGTGGATCCATCTCAGTTAGGTAAAGTAGCAGTCATTATAAACACACTACTCACATGAACAATAGACATACTTTTGACAATGAATGATCGATTGACATTAGCCATAGAGAGATACACTTACAAGGAATAGAATTATTATTATTTAGTATTATTTATAGTTACAAATCATGGGCTTTTCTCAAGTCTCTGCTTGCCTTTATCAAAGGAATCAGAGACTTGACATGATCTCCTCTTTTCAGATAAGGATGCTCCAGCAGTGTGTTTGCATCAGGTCTGTCTATGCTATTGACTGCCAATGATTGTCTTAAGAAATCCTTGAGAATATCAGATAATTCATCTGGATGCTGTAGTGCAGGTGTACCATTGGTAGCAATCAGATAAAGTGCTCTTAAGGGATTTTCATGTAAATAAGGGGGTTCACCTTCAATCATTTCAATCACCATAATACCCAAAGACCAAATATCAATTTTAGGCCCATATTCCTTACGAGTCACTACTTCAGGTGCCATCTAAAAGGTTATCTGTAAGCAACCATTCGGGCTGATAGCCTATCACTTACCCAATAAGGTGTACCCACCATAGTAGTTCTTGTTTCTGAATCATTCAGTCTTGCGCAGAAACCAAAATCAGCTATACAAAATCAGCCAAAAATGTTAGACAGTATTTTTGACTTACTCAGTTTAACATGGCCATTCAGACCCAAGAGAACATTATCCGACTTGATATCACGGTGAATAATACCCAAGGAATGTAAATGGCAAATACCTTCCAGTGTCTCTCTGCAGACAGTGGCAATTTGGCTTTCAGTCATCATGCTGGTTGTCACTACATCTGTCAGACTGCCTCCTTCCATATACTCCATCACAACCCATAATTCATTCGACACAAGAAACGAATCAATAAAATTGACTATATTCTTATGATGGGCTTCTCTCATCACTAGTATTTCATTGATAATCACCTCTTTTTTGAGTTGTTGAGCCAGATTCATCTGCTTAATAGCCACAGACATGTTGGTATCCACAGACTGAGCTGTATAGACACCTCCTGACGCACCTTGTCCAATCTTGATCATGCTACGATATAATTTGGTTGGATCTGCATCTGTGCAGATAGCCTGTAGGTCAGCAATGATCTGTGCATCCTTCATGGCTTCTTTTTCTCTTCTTTGCTCTCTTCTCTGTTGTCTTGCTTTATCTTGTTGTGTATTATCCATGGCAGGATCTAAGGGTGCTGCTGATGGAGCGATATAGACAGAGGATAAATGTGGCTTATGGGTCCTTGGAGGAGGTGTAGGTGTTGATGAAAGGGCTGCTGTCATGTCATCTTTGACCTTGGGTTTTGTCGAGAGAGGCGGTTTAGGTGGTGGTGGTGATTTGTGCTTTATAGTGTCTGGTCGAGCAGGTATAGGTGGTGCGGAATGCTTCAGGGTTGATAGAGGGCGGTGTGGGACAGGAGGTTTTGTTGTTGATGCTGTTGCCTCATTGGCATGGACCATGACCACTTGAGGTTTTGTTCTCTGAGGTAATGGTGGTGGTGTACCTGTGTAGTTCTTTGGATGAACATTATCAAACTTTTCCCAAACAGTATCAAGCGCATGTTCATTCGCATCTCGATAAAAACCCAATACATCCAATACAGCCTAAAATATACAGTGTCATTCGAGATTGTGTAGAAAGACATGGAGATTTACCTGTGGATTCTGTTGTTGTTCCTTTTTAGTGATACCACTTTGCTGTAATAGAATATGCCATTCTCTTGGCATGCCCGTAAATTCACCTGTTTGTGGATTGAACCCAACATGAGTGACATGAACCATGTTATAAGGTGAAGATATTTTGGTTTTCCCACTATGAGGATTCGAATTTGAATGACTGGCTGGTACTGTCCAGAGATCTTGAAATACAAAAGATCAGACAAAAAAAAACTCCCTTATGTGAGCCATACAACTTACCACTGACACTGCCAACTACTTTGCCAAGCATGCCTTTAAGTGTAGAACCACTTTTCTGAGCAGTAATAGGTGACAAGATAGAATTAGTATTAGTTGTATTAGAAGGTATGTTTTTCTTTATGGTATTATAGTTGGATCTATGTATCGTATTTCGAACAGGTCTTGGAGGAGTAGCGGGTGGCGGAGGAGGTGGAGGAGGAGGTGGAGGAGGAGGAGGAGGGGCGTAGGAGGGGGCGATGTATGATCTGTTGTGAGTGTTAGTTTTTTAATTGGTTTAGGCGGTAATGGAGGCACATAATTGTTCTTGATTGAGCCTGTACTTGTACTCTTATGAGGCTGATTATCAGTTGGTTGGTCTGATTTGCTATTGAATAACTTGATATTGGCAGACACAAGACCAGAAGTGGGTGCTGTTGGGGAAGACGACATACTTTTGTTGATTTTCCAATACCATTGGAACCTTCCCTTTAAGAGAAACAAGAAGAAAAAAAATGTATATGACGTAGAATGAATTTTATTAGGCGGAAATATCAGCCAACCATTGGATCAATGTACCACCATCACGCCTAAATGCTTCTGGCGTAGTAGACATTAAAGGATGCGTCATAGATACGTGCGCTTCAGATGTACATACGAGTGTCTTTAGACTGTAGTTGTGCTGCTCAATACGAGATACCAGTGTTTGAATACTTTCTCGAATGATTTCATGTTCGCCGTAAGTAACTAGCCAATGACAGCTCGACAATCCTTCTAATGTAGCATGAACAGGCGAAATCAACGAATGTGTCAGATTCTGGTGAGGGGCATAATTTGAGATATACATATTCAACAGGCGTGGTGATACACAGTCTGGTCGAGAAGGATAAATGTCTGTTGTCAAATCAACCCAAGGTGATATCAAGCCAATTCCAGCAGGCAATGGTAAGGGTGGCGTATTCTGTGTTTTCTCTTTACGCTTTACCCTCAAATCACGTAGATTGATCAGTGTAGTCAATGCTAGATTACCTCCAGCACTATCACCCATGAGCACTATTCTCGATGGACTGATACCCAGTTCATGTACAAGATATCGATAGGATTGAACAGCTTCATGACATGCTATGGGCCATTTATGTTCTGGACTGAGGCTATATTCTAATGAGAGAAGACTAGCCCTGATATTGTATTGCTTCTCAAGCTGACCGAGGATAAACTGAAATAATGGCATATACATGTATGAATAACCTATTGAAAACCCCCCACCGTGTATAAATAAGATGATCAAGTCTTGATTTAATGCTTGATCTTCTGCTTCCTTGGTATTCTTGGTATAAGGAGTGATCCATACACCTTTCCAATCATGCTGAGTCACTTTGTGTATCCATTTTCTTTCGTTGGCTGTAGGTTGAGTAGCAAAGAACAACAACCGACGTGAGATGAACAAAGGAAGTCGATTGGTGTTGGCTATCAAGACGCGTCTAATATCATAAGGAACATAACCACTTATCTTTCGTGCGCTTAAAATAACTAGCTAGTGTTATGATCTTGGAGGATTTCTTGAATTACTTACTCAATTGCCTTCCATTATGGGTACCCAGCAATGTTAAAAAAAGGGCAAAGAGAATAATATTAAACATGAACAAAAATTGACCTCCAATAAAATTTGGGCTCAAGTTCGTATCTTTACAAACTTGGAATTCACTTAGGGCAATACCTGTTTCTAATCTATAGAAGATTATAATTTGATCAAAAAGGCACACTGAAGAGCTCATTCACTTCCTGTGAAAGACGTCTAGTCCACAACACAATGACAAGAAAAGAGAATGGAGATAGTAGAGGTAATTTTCTCTTGAAAAATGAATTAGAATATAACACTTATCACGTTTATAACTGTTCTTTTAGATTTAAAAAGCCAAACATAGTAACCGGTCGATAATCTTCGTGAGTAGTACCCTTTGGATCAGAGTGATTTTCGGCCATTTAAAGCATTTATATGAGCATAAACAGGCTCTATGCTACCTTTATATGTCTATGAAAAAAAAACAGGATTTGTATGGTTTGTTATCATTTATGTTGTTGAAGCATTTCTCGTTCTGGAGACTTTGTTAAGCAAGTAATCAAAGTGATATTGAATTATTTCTTTGAATAGAATATACTATGGAGAGCACACTTGATCCGCCTAGATCAAAGAAAGAGAATGTTTGCTTATAGAAAAATGTTAAAGTGTTAATGAATGAATCTGGCTCATAGTTTTACGGTTCGTTTTTTTCTCTCGCTCGTACATCGGCGTACATTTACTGCTTATTTTTTTTGTATTCCATTTTGTGTATAAGCAACAGCTATTAGCTCCTAAGTAGATTGGCCTTGTTTTTATTTCATATTCTCAAAAAAGAAAAAAAACCTCTTTGACATTTCTTTATGCTCCAAGAAAAGACGTAATGATATTTCTGCATTATAACAGTTTGATCAGTTTACAACAACCAAGAAGCAAATGTATAAAAACAGCAGTTGGTCATTATTTCTTATGAATGATTGTGGATTCTTGATCTACAAATAAGCAAGCACTGTCTATCTTGTCTTTTTTGCGAATGTATTTATGCCTTTTTGTAGTCAATTGATCATTTTGCATAAAAAGTCTGTTTTTATATAAAGCTCTGTCTACTTGATTTACAGTGTCTGTAGGTTTACACAAAATAATCTTATAACAAGAGCATGAGTCTCTAGTCTAAGAATGTACTCAATCCAAATGAAAAAAAGTAGCTCATGAAATACGATTGATGCCCAAAAAAAAATACTCTTTTGTCTCATGTATTGTAGCATTTGGATATTTCTGACTGTATGTTATTATTATTCTTGCTATTATTATCGGAAAAAGTGATCGCAAAAAAATAAGAAAGGCAACACTTGTTATGATACAATATATATATATATATATATTTATTTTATACATGTATTTATTTCAAAAAATGAATGGTGTCAGTCTTTAGTTTCACTTCATAGAGAAGTTACTCACAGGAGTAGCCACGAGAAGGCAACTGACTTGTACTCCTTCACTTCCTTTCTTGATACCTTTTCAGGCTTGCGATACACTAGGAAATGCCAGATAGTTATAAGAAACCGTCAATAACTCCCAGCGACTACCCTTCATCCCGCTGCAGACCAACGCCTATATACCCCGTACCTTACTCTCGAGGCAGTAAGATAAGAAAGTAAGTCATTGGCTAATAACAGGCCAACAACGATTAGGATCGAACACTGAAAGCCATGGAGAGAGCAACACCAGTGGACAAAACCAACCAAATAGAGAGAAAATCCTAGAGAAAGCAGAGATATCAGCAAACGCATCCTTAGAATAGATAAGGTACTTGCCAGAAAACGAACCAGAGACAAAGACAACAAGAAACAACTACACTAGCTTTCACCAGTGTAGCGTTTACCGCAACCACACCTACCCCATACCATTGTTAGACTACAGATAACTAGTATATCCTCAATACGTAGCTGCTTAAAACCAAATAGAAAGAACCAAGCAAAGAAAACCAAGCAAAGAAAACCAAGCAAAGAAAACCAAGCAAAGAAAACCAAGCAAAGAAAACAAACCAAGTAAAGAGAAAACTTTAGAGAAAGCAGAGATGTCAGTAGACGCGTTCTTGAAGTAGATAAGGCACAAACCAAAAAGAGAGAGAGACCATAAGAAACCAGAGTAGAGAAAGTAAAGAAACAAAAAGAAAAGATAAAGAAATAAAAAAGAGTGCTGCGTGCCTTTTTATAAGTAATTTTTTTTCTTTTCTTTTCTTTGGTTTTGTTTTCTTTTGATAGAGATCATCTCATAGAGAGGACGCCCAATCTTGTGTTACATATAAACTTATTTAGTTGCATAAAACATGCGATGAACACCCTACTTGTCAGTTCTATAAACAGAAAAGCAACCCCTTTTGCTTGTTTTCTTTCTCTTTTGCTATGTGCTCATCCTCTGTGTTTCTATTGAGTAATTCATTATTCTTTGCCCTTGAAGATAAGGGAAGTTTACTTATATAAATCAATGCGGAATGTATTTCGTAATAGAGGACTTTGAATTGTAATCATTCCCAGTTTCCTTTTTTTCTTTCCATGATAAGATCATCCTTATTCATATGAAAATGTCAATAACTAAAAGAGCAAAGAAAAGTTTAGCTGTCTAAAAAAAAAAGAAAGAAAGAAAAATAAAGAAAGCTATTTTACACACAAACTGAAAGTACTGATTACTGGTGCCTGAAGATAAACTAACTATTGTCTTTTTTTATTTTTTATTTTTTTTTTTTACCTTGAGCACAAAAAGTATCTCAGTTGATCCGTGCACTATGCATACGCTTACCACATTTTAGATCCATGGGACAGTTGCTTACTTTTTCCTGAAAATAGATCCTGAGAAATTCGTCGCTTTTTTTTTGTTCACTATAAAACTCATACTGATTGCTTCTCTTTCTTTCTAAGTGAATAGACTATAAACTAGTTCTATACGTTATCTTTAGCTATCAGTTTAGTGATGAAGAAAAGATGACATGATGTAAACAAATGTTTTTACTTTGGTGACACAAACAAGTATAAAGCAGACACTATACTTCCTTCAGGTCTAAAAACCAAAATAAACGATACAAGTAAAAAAAATTGGGTGTCTTTGATACATATATATGCTATGATGCATTGTTAATAATCATATAAAAGCGTATGTTTTTATACCTGTGAGTAAATCGACCTTCTAACGTTACACAGACCAACAAAGTTGTTAATAACATCGAAAATTCTTTTATCTCTTATAAACAGGTTACATGAACAAATTAAGAGAAAAAAAAAAGACTTTATCAAATAAAAATCAGCACCCAGCCATACAAAATACAAAAGACAAAACATAGAAGCACTTGCCTTGTCTTTATAGAGGTCCAATGTATCATTTATGATACGCGATCGACATCAAATCAAGCTGCTTTCTCTCGTATTGAATTAGTTTGACAGCATCGTGATGGAAACAATCCACCTCAAAGCACCATCAAATCAGTGGTTATCTTCCTTGTTTAAGTCAACTGGTTTACAGAGCAACCACTGCAGCTCTATATTGAAGAATTCGAACGATCTTATTTAGTACATACAAAGCGATATTATAAAGCAGAAGCCATACGCGAAATAACAGTTGACAATATAAGTCATTTCATGCAGAAAGCAAATGAACGTCTTCAACAAGAAATTATGCGTAATAATCCTTTACTGTTATTTATTCGTCTTCATCCATGCTATTCCTTACTAATTTCTCAATGTCAAAATAAGAGAGAGAAAATTAAGGTCAAACAAAGAGTGCGTTTAACTGATTCAACAAAAGACTCACATTTTAATAGATAATTGCTTGCATTAGGGCTCACCATAACCTGCAACGATCTTTACTCAATACAAAAAATCTAGATAGCAGAATCAATCCAGATAGTTTATTGGTTACTACTGTGCAAGGATCTGCTTTAGATGAGCCAATCAATATTCAATCAACTCAGTGTGATTGACAGGTTGATATTTAAGATTTTCTGTTTAATTTGAGACATTTTAGCAATAAGACAATAACAGCATAATTAGACGTAAACTATTTATTGTCATGTATATGTCTATTGAAGTGATTGTATTAAATCATGCAGATGATATTGTACCTTTCGAGCTGTATGTGACTTGACTACAGATAAAGCGAGTAATTGAATTAGAGCTGCAAATCTATAGTAACACATAGTCATTTGTACCAGATCCAATGCATCATAAAACTTGCCAACACTTTGACACTTTGATGAGTAAGCATTCTTTTGTGTATATATATATTCAGGCGAACCAAGTAATTTTTTCTAAAAGTATTCTACTGAAATCAGCCTCTAAATGGCATTCCATTTATGAAAAACGTCGATTTGACAACCTTCAAGCTTCTTTTTTACGCTACAAGACGAAAAATAAAGGTATTGACAAGCTTAAATACTCGGAATGTGCGTCAAGCACTATATTTCTTGAACAATGTGTTTGCTTGCCAATTGTACTATAAAAATGGCGGGATATAAGCGAAAAGCTAATAAACATTTTTGCTTATTTCCTCAGAAATTCAGCAGCAAAATTGGTATATTTTCTACATGAACAAGTTCAAAAAAAGATATCTAAAGCTTCTATTATTGTAACAAGGCCGAATAACTGCGTCTTCAAGCAATTCTCAGCAAAAGCTCCATTTTAGATACAGCGGGAGAAGAACTGAGGTTGTTTTCTTTTTAATCTTCACCCACGGCCATCCTGCATGTCCTATATCCACTTGCTCCCTCATTCATATTATAAAGTGTCTATATTTCTATTTTTCCATGTTCTTTGGTACTCAAAGTAACATAAGATATTCTGTAAAGATTGATTGGTAATATATTTTATATGATATTTAGAGCAAAAACGCTCAAAACACAACTTAGCCATGTCAATCTTTGATGGATCATTGCTCGACAACCAAATCATCAAAACAACTCAGAAATCGAATGGCACCATTGGTTTGGCTTTTGGGTAAATTTCATTTTTTGACCGATGTGGGATCCACGGAAGTTCATGAAAAAACAAACTCGATCAAGAATTTCTTAGAATGACCTCAATGTAGGTCTGATCCAACCGGAATCAGATAAGACCATGTCTAGGTACTTCCAGGAAAAAGAAACTGAGTCTACTAAGCTAAGAAAGGCGACTTAATTTGAGCACTGACTTCAGATCTGCATTTGAAGTTTGTTGCGCGCCGAGATTGATCCTTTTTAGTAGATATTGAGTAGTAAATAACCTCTAACTTTAGTACCAATTAATGCAAAGTATAAAAGAGTAAGCTAAATTATATTACCTGGCATTTTTGAAGTCAAAAAGAGCAGCTTTGGATGTGATAAGCAATAAGTGTCTTGTACAAAAGGGACAATATATTCCAAACGCCATTTTTTTTTGTTCTGTGAAAAACGCATTTCATCCATTGATCAGTATTTTCTGCGTTTGGTCATGTAGCACTTTGCTAAGTTCACTTGCCATAAAGAAAACAAACGAACACAGAAAAAGTAAGGCTTAAAAATGGCTACAGGGTAAATCAAAATCTTTCTTTTAGGTCAAATCAACCGTGATTTGCTTCAGGTAATAAAATGAGTCTATAGTCTATTTCATTAAGAGCATTGACAGGATTAAGATTGGTTGAGTTTATAGGTCTCACAGACAATGCTAACTTTAAGCGCATGATTATGCGGCATCAAAAATTCAATTCGACTTTTTCTTCTGCTTAACATGAGAATGGACGATTACATGAATGTTCAACAATCACACGCACCTCTTGAAGAGCTTTACAATTACATGAGGATGTTTGATGTGACTCTTGATCGTGAACCTCAAGATCCTTATGTAGTACCTGAACGTCTAATGACTTCTTTTGTATCCAGTACAGGACACACATTCGAACAAATCATGAGCAAGACTCAAAACAAGCGTATTGAAAGGATCAACTATCTACATTTCATTCAAGAAGCTCGCTTAAGATCAAAGCGATCTCCACGTATTCCACAAATGCATAACAACATGTGTGTCTACGTTTGTCATGTACCTGCAGACAGTGTTGGAAAGTCATTCTCAAAGGTGCTCTATAGCATCACTTCAAAACTTACATATCAGTTACAAGCTAGACCACAGGTAAGTTCCCTTTCTCTAGAGTGTTCTTTGTATTTATACTTCATCGTAGCTTATCAAACTGGCCAAATCAGATATCGCGCGTCAAATCCAAATTTTTGAACGGGTATTTACTCAACACTTTCGTGATTATCACTTTGAATTTACACCTTATGGGTAATGATAAATGGATACAATTCTTTAGAATAACACTTTTAATAGTTCTATGGTGCAAGGACTCGGGTTTCCTTCTTCAGGCAACAGTAGTAAACTATTAAATATCAACATTGAAATGGATACGCCTGATATGAATCGTTTGATCTATAGAGACACCAACCCTTTTCTCTCGGATCGTAATGAACCACATTCGTTTGAAACAATGCAAAGAATATTCATTGATGCAGGCGTGGATAAAATGACATTTCACCAAGACATCAATTCAATTCGTATTAAGCATAAAGATCTCTCAGTCGAATACAACTTTAACAAAAAGATGTTTACCAAAAGCACAAATCTAATTGAGAAATACGTCTCATTAGATCCACGTATATCTCCTTTTTTGAGTGCCATTAAATACTTTGCCAGAGGAAGAAATGTACTTGCACGTAAGTCATTGTATAAAGAAAACCATAGACTCATCTCTGATGATAGCTTATTTAAAAAGTGGTGGCATGAGAGCCTACGGTTATGTTATTATGGGTCTTGCTTATCTACAGTCACTCGATCCACCCATCATTCCTAATTTACAGCATCTTTTCGATCATCATAGCGATGAGTGTAACGTGGATCATTGTACGACTAAAAAAGTGTTCTGGGACACTGTATTGTATGGTAAAGGTGAAAAGGGCATTGCAGCAAGATACCATGATTGTGTGTGTTATTCTGGATCAGAACAAAAGACTTTACAGTATGCTAAACTAAGCGAAAAGACAGGTCAACTTTATTGGCGATCGGCAAACGAGAGTTCTGTAGGGGAATTGCTTATTGACTTTATGTATTATTATGGCTACAAATTCGACTATGAACGATATGCAGTATCATTACGGGCAGGGGGATTCAGTCCAAGGAAAGATGAATTCAGGCAGTATGCTATTATTGTAGAAGATCCTTTTATTTCAGGTGTCAATATTGCGTAAGTCAATCATAAGAGAGACATGGCTAATATGTTCTTGTAGGCCTATTGATGTCTCTTTATCTAAATTCACTGCTACCTTAATTGGCACATTTACTTTACTATATAATGGACAATCCATGGAATCAATTATTGCTACACAAGATATTGGAAAATACGAAGACACAAGAGGACTCAACAAAAATAATCCACGCTATGCCTCTTTAAGGCTTCTTAAACCATCCATCACAAACAAGACACTCGTTGTGATTGGCTTACCCAAAGTCAAAGACCAATCAACATGCTATTGTGAGCAACTTATGCATATCTTTAGTCAATATGGTACAGTCAGAGACCTTCGTGATCTGGATTTTACAACAAAGCAATTCACCATTTTCAACTATACAAATTGTAATGAAATTGCTATACCTTCTCTTATTGAAATTCAAGGCAAACCAATACATGTTGTAGAATTGTATGACATGTAAAATAAATCTGTTTATTTCATATTAGCCTGGTCCAACCTTAGGAATATCATGGTGTTCGCTTAGTTTTTCAAGTTTTTGATTGAACTCTTGGACACGGTCCTTGTGTGATTTGGCTGCTGCTTTTGATACACGCTCCATTTGCTATATTATCCATGAGTTAAAGATAGATAAGCTTTCTTACTCACTCTTTGACGCTTTGTCTCTTCAAATTTCTTTTCAGCTTCTGTCTTTTCTACTTCATAAAACACCTTGTTTTCTTCAAGTAAACCACGCTCTAGTTTCTGCTTGTCCGTTTTTGACGATTTTTTCTTTTTCTTTCTAAGCAACTTTAGATCTCTCTTATCCAATTAACAGTATAGCTTACTTTATAGTAGAAGGATCACCACCTTTAAATTTGAGTGACCCTTTCTTGACATGATCATAAACCGATGACATTCAAAGGTGGTAAAGAAAAAAAAAAAGAAAAAAAAATGGAAATTAAACTCCTATTTCCATCGGACATCTATTTATCCGCATTTGCTACTTGTCCCTATAGGATAAACATGATTTTGCTTATATTGACAAGCCAAATTGTCATCTTTTTCAATTACAAACCTCTTTATAAGCCTATCCGTTTTTTTTGCAGTATCAACATGCTATTTAATGCATAGATAATACAAAAATGATGCTAGCCAATGGTTAAAGGCGTTTCGTCATTTATTGGAAATTAACTTCGAATCCGCAGCATCTATAAATTGAGACCATCTTTGCCCCCTTCTTTTATAGACCAACTACCTCTGCTATGACGCACACAAAACTACACCTGGCTTTACTTATCAATGACATTCCTATGGAACAAGTACTCAAGCATGCTGGTGACTATTTTCAACAATACAAGTACTTGTTCGAAGTAGCCTCGAAACAAAGAAACCTCGATATCACTTGGGATGTCTTTGATGTAGTCAATCGTCAGGAATACCCTTCATTTCAAGATATTCAGAGTGGAAAATATAATGCGCTTATCCTTACTGGATCTAAGCATAATGCTCATGATAATGATCCTTGGATTGTTCAGTTGGTAGAGTTTGTTAGAAAGGTACAGGCTGATTATGTGGATAAAGTCAAATTGGTTGGTTTCTGTTTTGGCCATCAGATCATGATACGTGCTGCTGGGGGAAAGACAGGAAGAAATCCTGCAGGCTGGGAAGTAAGTCAACAGTAGGCTTATGTAGCCAAAATTGATATGTTTATTTAGGTTGGCTGGGTTAAAATTCAATTAAGCAAAGAAGGACAAGAGTTTTTCAAGACGAGCAAGGATTCTATTCGTATCAACCAGTTCCATCAAGATCATGTGATTCAATTACCAGAAAACTATAAAACACTTGGTTATACAGAAAGAAATACGCCTCATCACTTAACTACTTCAAATAACCGCCAATGTTTGACGATTCAGGGACATCCTGAATTCAGTAGAGAAACCATGCGAACCATGATTGTAGCTAGAAAAGCAACGGGCGTTTTAAAGCCAGAAGAAGCAGATAAATTCTTACATGTCTTGGACAATGCATTGCCTGAAATGGAAGACATTTGGTTTGCGGAGAAAGTATTAGACTTTATTATGGATAACATTTAATAAATAGAGAATAGTTCTTTATTGTTACAATATAATATAAAAGGTATGATAATTTAGTCTTCGGCTTCAAGACTCTTCAATAAATCAGCAGCAGACAAGTCGCCCGTTGAGGGTTCTTCTTTTCTGTCTCTTGGCTTTCTACCCTTGCGACTCGCAGTACGTACTTCAACTTCACCCGTTCTTAATTTCTCCAGAAGGTTATCCATCATACAACGATCATTTTCACCTTTACCATCCGCATCTACACAAGATACATAAACATGGATGATGCTATAAGAGACAACATTACCTGTATTAATGCCTTGGACAGATCCTCTTTTGGCTTTCAATGCAGCTTCAGCCTTTTCCTTCTTTAATCTGGCACGCTCTTTTCTTTCTTCTTCTTCACGCTTTCTCTTTTCTTCACGTTCTTGCTTCAAGGCCAACTTTTCTTCAGTAGCACTTGCTTCCTACAAAGGACAAAAGTCACAACGATTTCTTTCATAAGAGAAACTTTACCTTCCATGCAACAACAAACCGAGCAAATGTACCAAAGAAATCATCTGGACGCATGACTTTAGGGTTTTCACCATAATACACCATGGTATCTTTCCATGCTGCATCCATATTGATATAGAGTGTCTGGAGATCTTGGAATCGTAAAGCAGCCTTCTCTTTATAGATTATCATCACACTACGGAACTTATCCTCATCTTCATTGATCTCAATGTCTTTCCATTGACTTTCTAGTTCTGCCTCTAGATCCTTAAGTCCCTTTCTCATTTCTGTGTATTGTTGAATCATATCGTTCATACTGGCGGTCACTCGAGCAGCTTGTTCAATCTCCTTCAGGTCTTGTAAGAAACCAAGAAGTTCAGGGAATTGACGGCGAATGACGCCTGTCAGTACATGGAGTAAGTTGAGGGATGAAATGTTGGATGCTTTTGTATCCACCAACTAGAGAAATAAGTATGTGCAATTTTCTTGATCGGCTTACCTTGTTGATACTAGAAATTCGCATACCAAATGCACCTCCTTGTAAACTAGATGCGTTCATATAATTACCAAGAACAAGAATAAGCTATGTAAACAATGAGAAAAAGCTAATTGTTTCATGAATATATTACGCATAAAAGGTTCTTTAAGTGGTTGGAATTCTTAAGCGCATCCGATACATCAAGCACAACTGTCATGTTCTATTAAAATAGTCAGTCCGCTTTTTTTTTTCCTTGAGTGTATTCACATACCCTTTCAAGTTGCTCAAACTTTTCCCAGAATTGAATTCTAAACAACATGAATTGTATACGAGGCTCATATCTATACATTCTATACATCTACACAGATGCTAAGCTTTCAAATCCCATACCCATAGACTTACTTCAATCGTGAATTGTTCAGGGAAATCTAGTTCTTCACATGCTTCAGGTGGCTCTTTAAGATATTTCTCCATCACCTTCAAATCATCATCTTTACTTGGCACATAGGCAATCAAATTACCCAAGAAGGTTTCCGTACAAAGCTCATCATTTACCTTCATAATTTCCAAACGGACATCAACAAAACTCTCATATTGTTTGACTTTAGGAAGCACTGCCAAATCTATGTCGAAGATTAGCCATATGTCTTGCTCAACAAAAAATCATACTTATGTTTCTCGTCTTTTCTTTCGTCAAGAACTTGACAGCATCCTTCTTTTCTTCCACCTTAGCCTTTAATCGTTTCTCAAAGAAATGATTGACCTTGGCAGGGAACAGTTCGTCAATCTTTTCAAAGACACCGTGCTTATCAAGATCATCTTCGATTTGATTCTCGTCCACGTCTTCCAACTTCCAGACGGTCTTTTCGACACTACGGGCATCAAGTTTTTGCCATTGAAAGTTCTTGAGTTTGATTTGAGGGTAGTGGCGAAGCTGTTTGCGTGCTGGCCCAGAAGGTACAGGGGGAGTATAGGGCCTCCAGGTGCTATTTATCCACAAATCATGTTAGTTATCGTGTGTGTGTGTGTGTGTTTTTTTCTTCAAGATGCACACATACGTGGTGGTGGTGGCGGAGCGCCAGGACCTCCAGGTGCTATCCAAAACCATGTAAATCAAACTTTTTTTCTATACGTCTAGTATAAACTTACGAGGAGGTGGAGGTGGAGGAGGAGCGCCGGGACCTCCTGGTGCTGTCATATGAAATGAGTTGTTTGTCTTTTCAGAGCATATTACTTACGAGGAGGAGGAGGAGGAGGAGGAGGAGGTGCGCCAGGACCTCCAGGTGCTGTCACCATAAGTTATTAAAAAATGATAGGTGCAAATGTGTTACTTACGTGGAGGAGGTGGAGGAGGTGGGGGAGGAGGTACACCAGAAGTGCCTGGTACTAATAAACATTAAGAAAACTTTCATTGGTGTCAATTGCACTTACATGGAGGAGGAGGAGGCGGGGGAGGAATACCACTTGCTCCAGGTGCTAATAGTAAAAAGACAGTTAGCTAGCATAACGAAAGCAAACATAGAATATTACCAGGTGGAGGAGGAGGAGGAGGAGGAGGAGGAGGTGGTGGTGGTGGTGGTGCAGCAGATGAAGGTAAGCCAGACCCTATTATTCATGTCATGTTAAGGTCACATCATATGATACAAGATCTTACCAGGCATTGGTGGAGGTGGGACACCGCTGGTATCTTTTGTTGGGTCAGTATCTCCATGTTGAGGTAAAGTAGGAGGCTGTTTGGCTTCATCTTCAGTCATGTGAGGTTCACTCGTACTTTCTTTATGCAATGGAGAAAGTGGAAGTGTATTATCAGGTCTTCTCCCAGCCAATTTCCATTGTTCACCAACCACAATAGAAGGTGTAGTCATAGCAACTTCTTCTAAATCCTCTGTCTTTTCTTTAAGTCTTTCTTGTAACATGGTAATTGTCTTATTCGACTGTTGTTGTAAAGCACGCAGAGCAATGTTTTCCAGCTTATAGTTGCGTCCTTCGCGATCTCCATGAGTAGCTTTCTTGAGTGTCTCAATCTCATCCTTCAATGCTTTGTTTTCAGCTCCTAATCGAAGAGCCATTTCTCTGTCTTCTTCTGCCGTTCTTGCGAGTTCCTGAAGACGGTCAAGTTCATTGAATCGACCGATCATGTTGCTGACCGAGAAACCAAAAGCAGAAGATCCCAGTTCATCTGCAGTAACACTTTCTCGTCGATCCATCACGATATTCGATACAATTTCACTAATGGCTTGATGATAATGCGTCCTGACCAATTTAAGTATACGTACAACGGTACAGCCATACTTACTTTCTATCCGCATCACCTTTGATCAACAACATGCTTCTGAATGTCTGAAGCAGGAAATCCAATGCGTTCGGTGCATCTGAAATATTCTCGAGAATCAACTCCAAGAGCTCATTGGGCTGAGAAATATCACTGTACATGGACAATTCATCTCCAAAGGCTTCATCTAAATCACTTTCGGCTCTTCGACGGTATTTATCCATTTGCTCGTATAACGCAGGATCGTCCAGTTTTTCAAGTTTAGCAAAGACACGATCGAGTCCAGACAGTTTGAATTGACTACGGAAGTAGATTCTATCATTGGCTTCAGTTGGAATATAGACCAGTGCATTGATCAAGCCAACATTAGACAGACAGTATTCAATCAAATGACTGTCTGGAGGCACAAATACACCGAGTTTCTGGTACTCATCTATTGAATTGGATCTACCGACACGATGAGTTCCATCCAATGTATGTTCAAAGTCTTTGATCCATGCATCAAACACACCAAATTCTTGACGGTGTTGACGCAGTAAATCAAAGCCTTGCATGACAATATGGTGACCTAGTGGTACATCACAATGACACAAGAACAGTAAAATATCACAAATGACCTTTCTTGCTTGCCATTGCGGACACACAATAGAAAACACCATGGAGTGAATGTATTCAGGATTCAAAATAGCTTCACGAGCGCCCCACTAATCATAACACAACGAATTAAGGCAAGTTTTGTTATGTGAAAACTTACTCTAGCATTAATCAAGACTTTGATACACTTGATTAAACCGTATTCTAGTTCAAGCATTTGTCCTTTTCTATACATAAATCAGAATTAAGTCATTCTTTCGTCGTGTGGCAGTACCTTTCTGCATCAGGTTTCTTGTTTAAAAAGGATAAGCCATGAGAAACCACACGTAGACCTTTCAGATCCGTAAATCGAATCACCCAACTACATAAAATGTGTCAACAATGCATGCATACATACATACACAACTTACTCAAGTGGGCGAGTTCTTAAGCTAACAGCCAGATTATCTGCTAAAGCAGGCGTAACTGCTCTTAAATCAGCTTCCATAAACTTGCGAATATAGAATTCAGGCGAGTTCTTATCGGTTGGCAATACACCGTCATACGCTACAGAAGCAGAAGAGACTGCTGTGGAAGGCGCATTGGAGGACTGAATAGCCTCAGAAACACGGCGACCCATAGGAGCCAATTGACTATGACGATACGAATGTCTTTCAATAGTGCGAGCCGTGGATTCTCGAGTGGCAGACCACATTTCTCCAGCCAGATCAGAAAGCACCGAGATCAAAGGTTGTGCTTCTTCAGTGTCCTCTTCCTGAGGTTTTCGACCTGAAACCACTTGTTCTGCTTTACGATCCTGTACAATCATGGCCCATTTAGTTTTGTAATCAAGTGATGTTTTCAGTGGCTTCTTTTTCTCTTCATCAAGACCTCTTCGACTCAACATTTGATCAAATAAGTCATCTATCTGTTCGTCGCTGTTTGGCATGGGTTCATCTGTCACATCATTCGGTCCTTGGCTTCTTCTAGAAGAGCTGTCGATCGAAGACCGAGGTGATGTTGCCCCTGATGTGGCATTATGCTTCTTTTTTCGAAATGAACCAAAAAAATCAGACATCAAATAACAAGTAAGAAAGCACACATTCTATCACATGCGCCAAGGACAAAAAAGCAAGCGGAGTTGCTTACAAATAGAAATTTATTTAATTTGAGGCATCTTCTTCCATATCATTATGCTTGAGTCCTTGTTTATCGTTCAATGAAGGCTTAACACCCGGGTTAAAATGCGATAAAAGCTTCAGTATATCAGGATACACAATCTTCTCAATCCCCTCAGCCCATAAAAAGTCTAAATGCTCCCATTTCTGTACTGCTTTAACATAAGCCAAAGGGGACGGCAAATCAGCCGACAAGACATCAAAATCCACTAATGAATCCGATTGACCGTAAAAGATAGCAATGGGTGTCTTGATCTGAAGTGTAGGGAACCTAGGAGGAACATGATCTGCTACTGTATTGACAGTATGATAAGGCAACCGACTAGGCATTTCGTCGTACATTTGAAATTGACCTGTACGAATGATTTGGAACCAATGCACAAGCGATTTGACACTTGTAAGAGAATACAAGTGTTGATAACTCACTGTTTTTTGACTTGATGTCATATTTCTACCTGTCCATCCAAACAAGAAAGAGACACAGGCATCAATCACTTTGACAAACAAAGGTGGGCTAATGATACGCTGCCAAAACAAAGCTACTTTGAGAGGTGTTTTTCTGCCAAACATCAGATAAATCACAGTGGGTGTTGCTTTCACAAATGCATCAATCAAAGGGTGCCTGAGTCCCTTGGGTGTGGTGGCAGGTGCTAGAGCAATAAACAGATTGACCTTCTTGTTCAAGTCTGCATTGATAGACAGACCAGCAAATGCTTGAGCAGTGCCTTGAGAGAACCCAATATAAGTCAAGTTGGGTGCACCTGTTTGAGCCAAGATATAGTCTACTGTATCAGGTAAATCACGCATAGCAAATTCATTGATAGAGAAGTTCCAAAATGGTTGATGATTTGGGTTCAAATGAACATGGTATTGAGAGTATTTGTTGCCTCTTGAGTTACCTAACCATACATCATAACCTTCTCTAGCCAAAATAAACGGTAGGTTACTGTATTCCTCTGTATTGGACACCCATACTTCAGAAGACATCAAGAAGCCATGATGAAGTAACACAACAGGTTTCCCAGTATAGTTGGGTTGCTTAGGCTTAAATTGGTTTAGGTTCTCTTGGACTCGAATTTCATTTGTTGTGTAGATCATGGTGTCCCTCTCTTGTTTAGCAGCATAGGCCTTAACAGAGGGAATACGATGAACACATAGCAGATAATCATCCAATGTACGCACAATATGCTGTTCACAGTCATAGTTCTTCCTAAAATACAATCAGACGATCATGATAGAAGGTAAGATAGGATCCAAATTACCAGTGTTTCACCATATTCTCAAAGGTTTGTGCCTTTTCTAAAGGACTGACGTGAGGTTTATGCTCTGTATTTTGCAACCATGGAAATACACTAATATAAAGAGGCATTATTATTCCTATGCCTCTTGAAATATATACTGTACGTTTTAATGGTCGCATCAATACTGTGAATAATAAACCGAGGCATCACAGTGACAATCAGGCGAATAATACTCTCTACAAAAAGAACAGGATAGTAAAAAAGAGACTTATTCTAAGTGAGTGATATGGTTCAACTAGGTGTTTTTATTATTACCCTTGATAGTCTCTCATTGTTAAACGGTCTAGAATAGGAATCTTGATCATAGTAAAGATAAGAAGAAAAATAAAATAAAAAGAATCATATGAAAATGCGGTATATAAATATATATATATATATATATATTTTTCTTTAGCTGATGGAAGGATTACATTCAAGAAAAAAGATCAACAGGGAAGATGAGACTGAATTCTTAGATGAAGAAGGTAATCATCCCATTGCTAATGTCCAATACTTATGTCTATAGAACAAGAAAGGTTACTTGGAGACCTTCGTCAACAGAATGATCAAGCAAATCTAAATATACAGGTAATGTTCGATAATTGAGCCTTTATCACTCATCAAGTATAGAGAGGACTAGTAGTCATAGGCATGATTGTATCAGCACTGTGAGTATACACATAGTCTATGTAATACACTAATACTGTCCCCTTAGATTCTTTTCCATGTTATTCCAAGCTTATCCACAGACAATACCTATTTCTCAACTCTATCAACCCACATTGACATCTGCAGTAACACCTCGATTAGTAGCCCTATTGAGTATTGCATCTATCTATCTGTCTATTGCTACATTGATATTATCTTCCTCATTGGCTATTGTACCTGGATTAGTGACTCAACACAGAGATACTCGAGTGGGATGGATGGCTCTAGGTACAGCCATATGTGTTATTATTCAGAGTATGACTTCCAGTTGGATTGAAATCGTATTTTGGTCTATTCCATCTATGCTTATTCTTATGTACTATTCTGCTTATTGTATGATCCATAAAGTATCTGTTGGACTAGATCAACTTGAAAAATCAAGATACAAGTACAAGGGTGCATAATAATAAAATTCCTTTTCTTTTTTTTTCATTATGACTCCACTTTTATGCTATCGTTGTCGAAAGATACTAGAGGATGAGACGTCATTTATTACTTGTAAATACTGTACAGTGTCATGGCATATTGACTGCCTTATTCAACCTACACATAAACACAAAACTGTAGAAGATGACTGGCGATGTCCTCACCATCAAGAAAGACCTTATGTAAGTCGAAGCAATAAACACCATCTCATCTCTTGTTAGACACGTAAAAGAGTCAAGGGAGAAAACGGCAAGACAGTCAAGATAGAACAACAGCAAGAAGAAGAAGTGAGTTTTCATGAAGCAGAGCATATGGTCAAATATGGCAATGTTACATTTGGTCTCTCTACAAGCCATATTGAACATGAATTTCTGGATTATGCTAAAAGGTGAGTTGCTGTTGATTCTTTCTTTGTTCATTCCATATAGATATAGAACATATCGGTTCAATCGAGATGCACGGATCCATTCATTGCCTCAAAAGACACATGAGCAACAATTGGGTGTTCAAATGCTATTGGATGCTGCTCATTGTAATGTAAGTCTATATCCACTTGTGTGTGTGTGCGTGTGTGTGTGTGTGTGTTGAAAATAACAATCTACAAGAAGCGGGTCATGGTAGAATTAGACGAAAAGGAATACGAAAAGATTGAAGCTATAAAACAACTTGTTAGGTTAAAAGGGGATGAAGATACATTAATCAAGCTATTATCTCAATAAATATGACTAGATGGAAGAGGAAACAGTCTGATTTATCTATCAATTAATACGCTTTTATTTTTCTACCTGCAGATGTCATTATGCCCAAGCAGATTTGACGTCGGCGATTGAAAAACAACAGAACCAAATGATTCATAAATTGAGCATTTGTTTAGAAATGCATAAAGACGTAGATATTTTGTCTTGACATATTAGCAAAAGTTGTTGATCTTTACTCTAGAATTCTAACGATATAGGAAAAAACACAAGAGGTTTATTAGTAAGATTCTGCTTAAATGTGAAGAAACGGCTTTAGAGTTTTCTGCACTTGGTGAATCATTTCTATAATACCATCTAAAAATAAATTAGGCCATTAGAGACCTTAGTGTTACTCGCCTATTCTGAGTGCTTGAACAGGTTGATATCTCTACTTCTCGTCCTGTAAAGTCGAAAAGAAATACAACGTCGGAGATTAAACATATCTTGCATGAGTAATAATATTTATCGAAAAGAAGTAGTTTTTGGTTATTTTGATCATGTCTCCCAATCGACCATGTATGTTATTAGACATTATTCTGATTACCTGAGAGACTATGTGAGGCATATCACTGGCTCAAACTGACTTCAAATGAAAAAAGATACAAGACATTTGCTGTGAATTAAGTGATACAATCTTTGCAAAGATCTACTGAATGAACTGGCTTCAATATTTCTATCAGTGCATATTAAACTAGAAGGTGTATTGTCTTTAAGTATCACGCAACAATAAAGGCCTTAAGTCAAAGCCTCTTTTTTTTTTCTCAGGCACAGTTCTTATCTCGAAACTTTATTTTCTTTTCTTGCCTACTACTGTTCTTTCTAGACATTTTTTTTCTCGATGGTATCTAAGCAGATTATCCCTATTAATGGACTTAGCATTACAGTCTATGGCTTACAAGAATGCAACTTGCTACCCAAAGGAACCCCTGTAGCTGTTATGTTTGCACTCCACGGCAGACTTCGTATGTTATCTTTTCATATGCTTCTATGACTCATGACCAAATAGAGAATCAGGCCAAGATGGAGCCTTTAGCCTTTGCTTTATGTAAACTAAACGAGTGTCGTCAACAAACTGATCGCTACCTACTGATCGTCACATTCGATGCACCCAATCACGGCACTCGTCTTTTGAACAAGACAGCCAATTATGGCTGGAACGAAGGAAATGATAGTCATGCATTGGATATGTGGAGCATGATTCACTCTACCTCACACACGGTGACTGAGCTCATCAATGTGCTTGAGTATTATCTTTTTGGTCCTCAAAAGAACCCTGTCGTCCAAGTATGGGGTGTTACTGGCTTTTCACTGGGTGGTCATGCTTCTTTCCTCAGTGCTGCTAAAGGTACGGGTTTTCATAGTCAAATAAAGATACTCATATTGTACACTAGATCCTCGTATCACAGTGGCTGTTCCTATTGTTGGTATTGCTGACTTTTTAGGATTGATGGAGTCTCGTCTAAAGGAATCCAATCTCTCTGCTGACACTTACTTGCCTCGGCCATTTACAGAGGCTGTCAAGCGAGAGACAACCAGCATGGATCAAAAGCTAAGAACAAAGCATATCTTGATTATCAATGGCGAAAAGGATCAACTTGTCAAGGCAGAATTTAACCACACGCTAATTCAGTCCTTGCGACAAATACATGTGGGTAAAGAAGGCCATGATTGGGGATACTACCTTGTGCCTAAAGCAGGTCATGAATGGCGTCCTGAAATGATTGAGTCTACAGTTGAATGGAGTAATCGATGGATGGTTAAAAAAGAAGACTCCAAGGATTCAAAGATCTAATGTCACTCAAATAGACTTGTACTTGTCATAACACAACAATAAAGCGGATCATAAATGCATTTGATTTATCAAGTGAATGATGTATGTATATAAATTATAGAGAGAATGAAGAAAGACTTTAAATAGCTTCCAGAACAGATGAAAGACCAACTAAGAAGATGCCCAAGAAGAAAAAGACGAGTACATAATGTTGCTTTACATCAGCACGAATGGCTTGAGGCAACATACTCTAAGAAAGGCATTAGTCACGCTAAAACAATAGCCAGTCCTCTTTACCTGTATTGTAATCAGAGACATCATACCACTAACACATCCAAACACGATACCAAACAAGACATCCTCACTATGCTTTGAGATGCTCTTGATCAAAAACAAGCCAATGAGCGCACCCAATGGTTGTGACAATCCACCCATCAATGCGGCATAAGTAAACGCAGTACTCCTTGATCGTGTAGCGTAGTACAGAGGTAACGAAATCATAAATCCTTCAGTCAAGTTATGAATTGACATGGCAATACCCACACTCAGTCCTAAAGCCGAAGATGCTTGACTAGAGATAAACATAATTAAGCCCTCTATCATAGAATGAGTGACATATGAAGTGTAAACCAGACATCTTACCAGGGAATTTATGAACACAGATAGCAATAGCTGTCTGAATACCAATGCTGTAATAATGTCCAGGATCACTCTGCATGATTTGTTCTACGGATTCGTGGCTGTTGTGTTGATGTGTGCTGGGTGAGTCACTGAGTGTGTCTGAGCTTTCTGCTGCATCGCTATGAACATGCTCATCATGATGAAATCGAAAATGAGACTGGCTGGATCGAATAGAACCATATTCTATATCGCAAGGATGGTTGTTTTTGATTTTTGCTCTTTCTTGTGGATGGTGACAGTCTTCTCTTGCTTCACCACAGGCATGAATTGCGTCTGGCATTAAAGAGTGTATGATTCGGGTTAAAATGACTGTGAAAGTAGCACCCGCAAAGAAGCAGGTATAGGCTAATGCGTCATTCTGAAGTCGTGCTTGTGCTTGTGGAAATAACATGGCTAAAGATGAAAACAACAATACGCCTGATGCCAATGACATGGAAGAAGCCATAAAAGACCGACTGTCTAATAAAGACTTGCTAGAGAGTTTATCAATAAATACAATAGAAGCTAACAAAGAAAGTATTCAGTATACAGACTAGTCTATTAAACTATTTGTTTTTTTCTTTTCTTTACCTCCAACAACGCAAGCAGTAGACGATAGTACAACACCTAACCAACCGTTAAAATTACTGTCTATCATGATGATATGAAGAATAAGAAAAGACGAAAGAAGAAAAAGAAGGCTTCATTTATAGTTTTCAAGCATGATGTATCAGCTGGGAACCGAAAATTTTGTGACGGCGCTTCAACGAAAATTTTCATTTAAGGAGATAATAATGCTTTTACATTTTCGTTACACTAATAGTTAACTCGCCTCCGGTTTCTTGTACCATAGGCTCTATAATATCGAAACTAGCATTGATAATAGCATCTTCATACGCTTCAGGTCTTGCATGAATTTCAAGTGTACCAATCAATGTACCATACGCATTTTGCCAGAAATGTACTTTATCGACAGAGATAACATGAGGTACTTGCTGAATAAGTCGAAGCTTGAGTTCAATATTACCTATCAAACTGTCTGGCATGGTCTGTAATAACACCCTGGCTAAAGCAGCAGCAGTAGGTGCACCCAAATAGAACATAAGAGCAGCTTCTACAAAGGCAATGGTCTTTTCAAATGTAGAGGATGATAGTCCAACTAAATACATCAAAAAGATAATCAGACCACTGCCCATAATAGAGGAAGAATACATATTGGTTGCTAAGGATCCTGCAAGGTTACTGTTGCTGGATAATGATTTAACCTCATAATAACCATAGTCTTGTTGTGTCTGAGGTAATTTCTTCGTGACTGCAGTAAAGAATAAGACACTTGGGTTTAACATTCCTTTTTCTACTTACGATTCACCAAGTTTTCATGGTTCTTTAGACTGGCATGAGAGAAAACAGAGGCGCCTATAGCCAAAAGCAAGACAAGCAAGAGTCCAAAAGGATAACTAACATCCGCATGAGAAATGTATTCAATCAAATTCATAAGTTACCTTTGAGCATGATGGTCTCCCGCAGCATGATGATTCTCAAGCAATAGATGCTCTAATGATTCCTTTGTGGTATACATTGTACCAAACAATAAGAAAATAGTATTTGCAAGTGCAAATACAATCTCAAATCGACGCACACTAAACAACGCATTCAATAAAGGCAATTTTCTATACCATACAACCTACCCAAATGGCCTTTTAGTACTAACAGTGTTAAATGCAGGATTCGATTGAAGCACACTGGAAATAAAATTATTCAATGTGCCAAATGCATCAAACAAGACAAGATAAGAGAACCCAACAACAGCTAATAGAGAATAAATGACATGTCCTTCTTAACTCGCAATTGGCTTACCAAGACTTTCTCTGACAATACCAGACCACCATACAAGGATACCAATCATGAAATGAAGGATAAAACAAGTAAACGTTGCTTTTTGAGAAGGTACAAGTGTTGCAAAAATGGAAGCAAAAGAAGGCAAAGGTTGGGTATAGACTTGTGGAAAATTCGCGTGACTATGGCTATGTTGGTAATCATGATGACCATGATGATGGTGATCGTGATGATCATGGTGATCGTGATGATCATGATGATGAGCACCATGGCTGAAGTCGTCATGGTTATGCCCATGGTGACCGTGATGATGATTATGATGATGTCCATGGTTGTCATGAATATGGATTGGTTCCTGAAGCCTGTTTTCATGGTGATGATGGTTGTCATGACTTTCAGCATGTCCATAGTGATCATGTCCGTGATTAGAGTCACTTTCCTGTTGAAAGTGATGAGTTTCGTGCTTAACAGACTCATAGAAAGATTTTTCTTGAGCTGGAACATGATCCTAATATCTAAGATAAGTTTCAAAGTGTATTTTTGTGTGTCTTCTACCTGCTCAGCCTTAAATGTTCTTGTGTGAATAGGAGCATTACTTTGGATAGCAAGACCACTTCGAGGTATTTTTTGAACACCCACTTGCAGACCTTCTACAGCTTGTGATTGATTAAGCATAGGCGATTGAGGCCTTCTCTTGGCGAACTGTCTAGTTTGATGCATCTTTTTTAATTTTACAAGGCAAAAAAGAAAAAAAAAGGGGGAAAGGAAATCAGAGAAGCACAATCGCAATTTAAGGTTGCGGAACCACAAAATCAAAACAGGTCTATTAGCTGTTAGGACTCTATAGCCCACTTGAAAGGAGACCAATCTACATTTCAGTAAGGCGTGCAATTATTCATGAAGCATGTATTATGGCAAATGGACTTTGATATATATATAAATACGTTGCGTATTATTTTGTAATAGGATCAAGGCTATATGTAGTGTGCCAGTCACTAACATTTCCTTAAGCAATTGAAGGGATTAGAATTCTGTCAATTTGAATTCAGCAAGAGGAATCCGAGAAGTTTTTTTTTTTTCTTTATTTCCTTTTGCCTTAAAATGTCTATACGTGCTTTCGCTATTCGTAGTCAATATAGCAAGGCTATTTTGAGTTCCCCGACTCACACTAGACTACTTCATTCTTCCCGTTCATGTTATCACCAACAACAACAACAAAAGAAACCTTTGTTCAGTCGTTTAGCTAGCAGCTGGAACAACACAGAGACAAAATGGTACCCTATCCCAGTTGCTCTTGGTTTAGGTGTTATTGGTAGCATTCAATACCTTCGAGTTAGAGAAAGGGAAGATCGCCACGTTGAGCATCCTAAAAAATACGTTGCTTCCGGTCCTTGGCAAGTTCACGTAGCTGCTGCCTTGCCTTTAAGATCAATGTCTCGATTATGGGGTGCTTTCAATTCAATCAATATCCCTACTCCTTTACGTCCTATGGGTTACAAACTGTATAGTTGGATCTTTGGTTGTAATCTCGAAGAAATGAAGAATCCTGATCTTTATTCTTATCCTAACCTGTCTGCATTTTTCTACCGAGAACTAAAAGAAGGTGTTCGACCTATCGCCAATGCCCCTCTTGTATCCCCTTCTGATGGTAAAGTCTTGCATTTTGGTATAGTTCAAGGAAAGGAAATCGAACAAATCAAGGGTGTGACATATAATTTGGACGCATTGCTCGGTAATGATGACAGGCCTATGTCACCTGTCGATAATGCCATCCTTGGCAATGATGCTCAGTTAGTAGACGAGGAAGAATTTGCTAATGTGAACGGTATTGAATATTCATTGGGTGACATGATGAGTGAAGGCCACTCTGTGAAGACTGAATCTGCCGTTGGTTCAGATGGTTTGGCTACTTCAGAAAAGACAGATCCCAAAGTAGAGCGTGATTTGGCTAAACTGGCTGATGTCAAGTCAGACATGGACGAACATAAAGTCAAGCCTGGCCATGCCATGTTCTTTTGCGTTGTGTATTTAGCTCCTGGTGACTACCATCGATTCCATTCACCTACCAATTGGGTTGTGCAGACAAGAAGACATTTTGCTGGTGAATTGTTTAGTGTGTCGCCTTACTTTGTCAATTTGTTGCAGAACTTGTTTGTCCTGAATGAGCGTGTGGCTCTGTTGGGTAAATGGAAACATGGTTTCTTCTCTATGATACCTGTAGGCGCTACCAATGTGGGATCTATCAAGATCAATTTTGATGAAGCTCTCAAGACAAACCGTAAAGAAGATCTTCCTTTAGGCACATACACTGAAGTCACTTACAAGTCTGCTAGTAAGATTTTGAATGGTAAAGCATTGCGTTTTGGTGATGAAATGGGTGGTTTCTATTTAGGGTCCACTGTTGTTTTAGTCTTTGAAGCACCTACTTCATTTAAATTTAATGTGACATCTGGACAAAAGATCAAAATGGGTGAAGCATTAGGCCAAATTGAACCTTAATTGTACATAACAAATAAAAAAAAAGGAGAAGAAGCAAACTCGAATGTAAAGCAACAAAAATTAAGGGGCTGATCGAATGCTCTCCTTAATAGAATCACATCTTTTTTGCTTTCTTTTTTTTTGGCTTTTTCCAACACTGCTCTTTATTCTAGTTCATGACATCCTATTGGTATTCAACCAATGGAATGAAACAGTGTCGATTATCCAATCGCTATTTATCAGTATTGGATCAAGCATATGAAAGACGCTCTCGGATACAAATAGCAGATGAAGAATTATTTGGGAAAACAATGTCTGCTATAGCAAACCCTTATCAAGGCACAATGACAGCAGAAGAATTTCATTTTGGTCTTTATCGACAACCACCTATATGGCGAATGAGCAGTATAAGCCTTGATACATTGACATTTATGGATTGTGCCTCCAGCAAAGCCATGAATGATAATAGTCATTTAGAAGAAGAATCAAACTCCTCCAATGATAAATTACTACAGAGAAAAAAATTAGCACTCAATAATGTAGAGGAAAAGTATATTTGCTGTACTATCAGTTGACTGAGGATGCAAAAGAGAGACGAAAAAAAAAAGTATGTACATATCATGATAGAGCTTCTCCTTTTGTATCATCGACTATTTAATAAACTTACAATAATGCACTGATGAATGAAACTACACTACCAATGAAAAAGGATGTATATAAGGAGCAAGAGAAGCAGGCTAATAAAGAAGCAGAACTTCCTTCTCCTTCTGAAGCATGTGTATTATAGACGGGTATCTTATTTTCATCGCTTACTCTAAGTCCACTTGGGAGACTACCTGCTTTCTTGCATTTGTAATATAAGCCACACCCTTTGATACATATATTTTGAAGAGCACCACTACTACAGTTGTTGATGCATGCTTGTTCTTTACCTTGGCATTCTGCAATAGTTATAGGCCATCCGTAAGGTGGAACATCAGGTACATGATTCTAGTATCATCTTTTAGCTTCATTCTATAGACACTCCTGTCCAGAGTTTGACAAGTTTTTTACCTGACAACTGCACTCCCATCCCATACTGTCTAAGTTACAGAAACTATGGATTACAAAAAAGGGGGGAGGATGTTTAGTGTCTGATAATGTCAAATATAATTGCCTATACTTTTTAGCTATAGCTTTTTGACCACCACATTCGCTCTTCATAGACATAAGCAAGTTAGCTACTTAAAGTGAATTTATCTCAAACTTACTTTACAAAACTCCTTTTGCTGCACACAAATAGCTTCTTTTTCTGCGAAGCTTAAATCAATGATCTTCCATGTGCTGATAGGTAAACCCACTATAGATGGGCTAAGTATCTAAGAAAGTATGTAAGGCTTACCATAAGGGTGTTTATCGCCTTCTGGTGCATCAGATAGGTCTGTGTTGCCTTGTATGTTTTGTGAAAAACTCAGTGCTGTTACGAGAGATAGACAAATAATTTGGAAATACACAAGGGATAAAACAAGCATTAGAGTTAAAAAATATGAAGGAAATACAAAGAAAAAGATATTCACAAATATATAAGAACTAAACTATAGCGCGGCATAATCAAAACATTGTAGAAATGCGCTTGATTGCTTTAAATGTCTAATACTACCCCTAATTCCTGTATAAGAAAAAAAAAGAAGAATAGTACAGAAACAGCAAGCTTAATTTTCATAGATCAGAAAATTTGTTTCTGCAGAAGCATGTTAACAAGATACAATAAACTAAGTGCAGAGGTGGTAGATTTCTGCTTTTAACTTTGGCTTTATTGGGCATTTATATATAAAAAAAAAGGAGGGGGAAGAGGAGACAAGTTGTTGTCACATTCATTTGAAAGTAATGTTTTCTAGTTCCTTAAAAAGAGAAACTTACATTGCGCAGATACCATTTATTGTTGTCTTCAACTTTCCATTCATTGCCTTTATCTGATTATTGTTTCTTATATCTCTTAGTCTAGAAATGCTCCTTGTATTTATACTTTTTAGCACAAAGCTTCTTTTTATTTGTCTATTTAAAACTTATTTTACCCATAAATAATATCTATTTAAAGTTGGCCCTGCCAAGCACATAATCTACCATCTTCACCACCTGTCAAAATACTTTGGGTTGGATGGTTCCAATACAAAGAACGCACAATATCTGAATGACTACCTTCCACCTTTAATTGCTGGCAATGCTGCAATTGACCAATATTAACATGAAAGAAATCAACCGTACCACTATCAACATGTTAAAAATATTCCAACTATCAAAAAAATAAAAACAAACCTGTTGCTGCCTGTAATCAAGTAAAATCGTTGACTGACTGGATCATAACTACAATCAATGGCATAGTCCACTTCTGTCAGGTTAATTGAACGAATATCTCCATAATCGCAGATAAGATCGCCTTCTAACGTGTGAAGCGAAAATGTTTCAATATGTGTTAAACAATACATATATTCCGCATTGGGTCCAAAGTAGCCCGCCTTATTGACTGAAGATCCTGAATTGACAGCTGAAATCATAGCTTCTTCTTCATCAAATTCAGTCACATCATAAGTGTTGACTATGCCATCAGTTGAACAGGAAATGAATTGTGCAGGTAATGAAGGATGACATTGGATCTATTCATTATGTCAGGCAGGATACTAAGCAAATGTTATATTTACCTCTGTAATATCATCACCGTGCGATTCAGTAAAAGTATGCAACAGAGAAACATTTCGGGTATCAAAAAACGCCAGATCAGCAGACTGAGTATCATAAGAAAACTCAGTGCCTGCAATGGCCATTGTATCATTGCAATTGATATCAAAGGCAGTCAAAGGCTTATTATCTGCATTTCAAAATTAGTTCATTATTATGGTAGCTATGCAGTTCTTACATTGAAAAGTTTGGACGGGTATATTAAGCGTTGCTCTTAAATCCCAACGCTTTAGCGTCCCGTCTTCACTTGCAGTAAAGAGATACTGATCACTTTTTAGCTTCATTTTTGAGATTCGACTGTTATGAACAGGAATAGTATGTGAGAGTTGAAGGGTATTAAGATCGTAAAGACGAATAAAATTATCAGAAGCTGAAGTAATCGCATATTGAGAGTTGGCTGTAACATCGAATACATAGGCTTCATTGTAGCCTAAATCAATACCCTTCAAAAGCTGAAAAGGAGGCAAAATATCAGTACACGTCAAAACTTCAATATTGCTAGACATTGGAGATAAAAAAAAAGTAAACAAAAAAGTTTTTTTTTGACAAATAAAATGCTTTCAGTAAAAAACTCATGTGTGAGTTTTAAATCTCCGTTCTTGAAACCTTTTTGAGACTTTGCAGGACAGGATACGAAGATGTTGAGATAGCCAAGTATTCAGAACAAACGCACAGCACTAAAATTTTAGATAGTGGTAGTTTTGTTACACTTTTACTGTAAAAATGGTACGCTAGGAAGGAAAAACACTGTAAACATCTTTGCCTGTTTACTCATTACTTTAGCAGGAAGTTTATCGTGTTCTTTATACAGAAAGGCTCAAAAAACAAAGTTCTGCAGCTTTTGTCACTACACCAAAGCCATAAAGCTGTGTCTTTATGCGGTGGGAGGAAGAACTGGAATCATTCTATTTCAATTTTCACATATAACCATCCTGTATGTCCTATGTCCATTTCTCTCGCATTTACATTATAAAGTACTTATATTCTTACTTTTATATGCTTTGATAGCACTCAGATAGCTCAAGATGTCTTTTGAAAGTTCATCTTCAACACATTCTATATGATGGTTAGAACAAAAACAATCAAAACACAGCTTGAATGCACCATTCTTTGATTGGCCATTACTCGACAACCAGACTATCAAAACAGTTCGTCTTTTTGTTTAAAACATGTTGGCCGCTGCATCAAATCCAGAAGATTTTTGGAATGACCTCAATGTAGGTCTGAACCAACCGGAATCAGATAAGACCATGTCTAGGTAGTGATTTATCTGGACCAATTGTACTATCTAAGGTTCCTTTATAGAACAAGGATCTCTGCAGAGCATGCTGAACCCTTATATAAGCAATCATCTAAAGATATGACTCAATAAACAGAATTATTTATTTGATTTGAATTTTCTCGCTCTTATTTGGACATTGGTAGAATAGCAAGGAATATCATGGATGAATTAGAATGGACATGGATGAGTATGGGTTGACATAGATGAACACGCGTTATCATGAGTGACTATGGATGACCATGGATGACCATGGATGGGCAGAATAATAGAAGAACTGTATGTGTTTTGGATTCTTGAAATTAATTTTCTCCTTAGCATTATAGTCTTGTGAAAAAAATTCTTTGTTAGTTTCTTGTGCCTCCTTTCTTTGACAATATATGCAAATTTTATACAGTTTTATGTAGATTTATGTTAATGTTTCGACAACATTTTTTATTTTTATATTGTTTTTTATCACAATTTCTTTTTATATTTAATTTCTTTAGAATTAAAGACATTACAGCAGAAGCAATGGAAGATTCTGGCCAAACCTTTACTCAAATATCGAAGAAAAATACAATCGCTTACGCTGTGACGAGAATGTATTTTTTTCTTTTTTTTTCAAATCTAAAAGTAGTTATCTTCCAGAAATGTATTTCGGTTGGCACAAATAACATACTTGCACACTGTTGTTAATTTTCTGAAACTCATACTTAAAGTTTGCTAGTTTATTGATTTTGTAGAAAAGATCCTTTTGAACACATGGTCCAATGTGGCCTTCGACTGTTCAGACTCGATCAATTTATAGAAATGAATGACTTTACTAAGCTAAAAAAAACACCTTAAGAGAATAGGGGCAAAAAAGGAATGGAGAGAAGAGCGCTGATCTAATGGTGTGTCTGGGCGTGAGTTTGTAACCAGAGAAGAAATAGAAACATTTGGTTGGATGTTGGAAGAAGTAGATTGTTTGTGGTAGTATGTTATATAGAGGTGATTTGGGATAGAAGCAAATGTATAGAGGTCCATCTAGTACTCCAATAAAGTACAGAGCTAATGTTCTTGAGTATTGTTGTGAAGAAAAAAACAACTTACGAATTTCTGAAAGACAAAGAGCTTGGTCAAGGACACTTTTGCGTTCTCTAAAGCCACCTTGGGCAGTGTCTAAGGACGATACTTGGCCTTGGAGAAGTTCTTTGATGCATTTTTCGATTGTTTTTTCCGGAGATAATAGTCAGACTAATTAGTCAGTAGCTGACTGGGTCAGCCGAGTTGCTCTTATCATGAATTGGGACTATTTGTACGGCTCGTCAATAGTGAGGCGTGTATGATCAACACCAGCACAGATCAAAAATATGGAGAATTAAGGAACCACTATAATTTTCGATATGTCTACAGGAAGCAGAGGTAGAGCCATAAAAGATCGCGGTAATAGCCGTAGATGTTAGAAACTTCTCATGAATGCAAGAAAATACATATGTATTTTCAAACTCCTTTAACATTCATACCGACTTACAAGTATGCCACTTGTGTATTTAAAAAAAATAAAAATAAAAACCACTATAAAACAGAACAAAAATATTTTTTGTAATGACAGAAAAATAAAAAAGCAGAAGATTTCATATTTTCTGCTTAAAATTAGAAAAAAAGCCAATTTTTCAATTTTTCTGCCTTAAATAAATAAACGAGTCTACCGGATAATGGCTTTACTGCTTTAGTTTAAAAGAAGAGATTAATGGTCGGTAGACTTGTTTTTTATTTTAAAACAGAAAAATCGAAAAACAAGCTTTTTTCAAAATTTCAAGCAGAAAATATGAAATCTTTTACTTTTTTATTTTTTGTCGTTGCAGAAAATATTTTTGATTTATTTTACAATAATGGTTTTGATTCTAAAATAGCTGTTTTTTATTGCTTTTCAAAAAATATTTTTTTGAGTACGCAAATGGCATACTTGTAATTTCGGCATAACTGTCAATATTTTTATGATGTTTGAAAATGTTTTTTTTTCTTTTTTTTTTAGGTAAGTCCATCACACTGACAACGAAGGCCTGAGGTATACAAGTCTTTCTATAATTTTCTCCATCGCTCTAGTTACTTTTTTATAGAGTTGTCACTACAGCGTAAGCGATGGAAGAAAAATGCAGTTGCTCACGCTGTGGTGTATGGTTACCATGGTTACCATGGCTACTATGGCTACTATGGCTACTATGGCTACTATGGCTACTATGGCTACTATGGCTACTATGGCTACTATGGCTACTATGGCTACTATGGCTGTCGTAACTATTCTGCTGCAAGAGCGAACCTAGCCAAAAAATTGATGATCAAGAACATTCAATAAGGATATCGAATTGCAGCAGTTGTCATTTGGGAAGAGAAGACGTTGTCAACGGCTAGTAGTTGCTTTTCAAAAATGATTTTCAGCTGCCGCTTGCTTAATTCGAGTTTGCTAAAATCTATGCAAAGGAAGGGTGTAGTTGACCTGTGAGCCTGGTTTAAAACAGAACAAAGCAGCTGTTATGAGATGAAGAGAGAATAGATATAGAATAAGAGAAAAGGTAAGAACACAGAGAAAGTCCGTTAGAACTTGTATAGGCTTTTATTTCTCCAAGAAATGTTATCTTTCAATTGCTATAAAATGTCGAGGTATTTATACTTTTTCTTCTCGGCCAAAATATTGTTTTGGGTTAGCTTCTTGACTACGGATTGATTTGTTAGATCAGGAGCAATTAAGAGAAATGCCTTTAGAGGAAGTTGTCAGCTCAGCCAATAGTACATGATCTGACCTGAACTTGAATAAACTATTACATATTTGTCAAATGCCAATGCTAATGTATTTGTCAGCTCTAACTGTCACTTTATGAGGGCCATTAATAATAACAGAGTCACTAGGCTCATAATCTCTGAATATGAAGACAATGTAGTACTTTTAGTAGAATGAGTGAATGTCAGTGACTATAGATCCATTGCAATTGCCATAGATGTGATCTGGTCTTTTGCCATGATCATCATTTATTGATCTACGCATACGAATTCATATATGTTCACAACATCAGCCTATATCAGTCTATGTCAGCCTGTGTCAGCCTGTGTCAGCCTGTGTCAGCCTATGTGATTCTAAGTTAGCCTATATCAGTTGTGGTGTTTAGGTTGTGAAAAGAAATATAGAAAACAGAAAAGAAAACAAAGGAATACAGTGAGACTGTTCAGTATTTCTTTATTACAAAAATAATGATAATTCTCTAAAGTATATCTTTTCCAGATTGTCTTTTATACTACCTGATTTATTGACTAATTGTAACTATTGCTTATTGATTACTTAACACTTTGACAGCTTGTGTCTGGGAGTTGACTATGTAGATTCTCCTTTAACTCTCCTGGTTATCTAAAAGGTACAATTACGGTTTCCTTATTTGTAAATATCCATATTATCCCAGTTATCGTTATTTACTGTCATTATACAATGCTTGCTTTATATCTATGATGTATAGTGCTATAAGTTATTATTCATTTATACTATGAAAGACTATTTATTATATTTTGTATTGAAAAGTGCTCAGATCACTACAGGAGGATCCACAGAGGTTCGTGAAGATGGAAAAAAAACAAGAATTTTTGGAATGACCCAATGTAGGACTGATCCAACCGAAATAAGGTGAGTTAGGTCTAGGTACTTCTGATAGAAAAAAGAGTTTACTAAGATGATAAAGACGAGTTGATTTGAGTGCTCCCCTCAGATCTGCATTCAAAGTTGATTGAACACTGTAATCAGTACAAAAGAAGCCCCTTTTCAATAAATTTTGACTAATAAATAGGTACTAATTCATATAACATTCGATTTACAGAGCGTTTGAGAGTAAGTTTTGCTATTATACATGACATTTCTGAGGTCAAAAAGAGTAACTATTGAGTATGACAAATGGTGCATATCATGCAAGTGGGAGGTTCAGTATTTCAAACATTGGTCTCTTGCACTCTGCTTGAAGACCTTTTTTTTTTTCTTTTTACTGACGCTCACAAACCGCAAATGCGTTTCGATCGAGTTAAGAGGAAGACTAAACACCAGTTAGACAAAATCAGAGCGTAGTGTTATGGCATATGGAAGACAACATCACTGTAGTTTCGCAAGTGAAATGAGTCCTGATCACCTCATACTAAAGACGAAAGACAACAAAGCAACATACTTGAGTGGACAAAGCCGTTGATGTAAATGGAATATACGCATAGCTCTTATTACACAAATACGACAACAAAGAAAAAGGATATGCACATCACAAACACATGATGGGTTTGATCAGGGTAATCAAGCCTTTTCAGATCCTCTTTTTGTCTGAACAAGAGTTGATCAGACTCTCGAATAGACACAAAAAGACTCAAAAAAGTAGACTTACGCTACAGAAACTTACTAAGCCTTGAATGTATATCTTCCAAACCCTAAAGAGAGCCAGAGTCTGAAGAAAAGGGTTTGAAAGCCCTATACCACTTGATCAAACGCCTTACAGACAGTTGAGAAACCAGCCTGAGTAGAGTACACCTTGTTTATCATAGAGCTTACCGACCAAATCAGAGTAGAACCAGGGAGAGAAATAGTCTTGAACCAGCAGTACATCTTGTTAGACGACCTTTTAGATAACTAAAAAACCAGTTTGAGTAGACTAGTCAATAAACATAAGTTATTGCGCGTTGCTTTTGATGACACAAGTTTCAGTGTGGCTTTATGTCTGAACAACACTAAACAAACACAACTACACTATTGAAAGATATATAGAAATCAAATAAGCAACATGAACTTACCTTGAAAAAGAATGTAAAAAAGAAACAAAAGTAAATCGTTGCTTTAAGCAAGCCCTTAAACTTCTAAAGACAAAAGTAAAAGCAGCTAGTCTTCAAGAAAACATCATTGCAATAAAAAAAAGTACAAGTCATTATTCATTATTAAAAGCAAATGTTTATTAAATAATGTCAGTCTTTAGTTTCACTTCATAGAGAAGTTACTCACAGGAGTAGCCACGAGAAGGCAACTGACTTGTACTCCTTCACTTCCTTTCTTGATACCTTTTCAGGCTTGCGATACACTAGGAAATGCCAGATAGCTATAAGAAACCGTCAATAACTCCCAGCGACTACCCTTCATCCCGCTGCAGACCAACGCCTATATACCCCCGTACCTTACTCTCGAGGCAGTAAAATAAGAAAGTAAGTCATTGGCTAATAACAGGCCAACAACGATTAGGATCGAACACTGAAAGCCATGGAGAGAGCAACACCAGTGGACAAAACCAACCAAATAGAGAGAAAATCCTAGAGAAAGCAGAGATATCAGCAAACGCATCCTTAGAATAGATAAGGTACTTGCCAGAAAACGAACCAGAGACAAAGACAACAAGAAACAACTACACTAGCTTTCACCAGTGTAGCGTTTACCGCAACCACACCTACCCCATACCATTGTTAGACTACAGATAACTAGTATATCCTCAATACGTAGCTGCTTAAAACCAAATAGAAAGAACCAAGCAAAGATAGCCAAGCAGAGACAGAGACAACAAGAAACAACTACACTAGCTTTCACCAGTGTAGCGTTTACCGCAACCACACCTACCCCATACCATTGTTAGACTACAGATAACTAGTATATCCTCAATACGTAGCTGCTTAAAACCAAATAGAAAGAACCAAGCAAAGATAGCCAAGCAAAGAAAACCAAGCAAAGAAAACCAAGCAAAGAAACCAAGCAAAGAAAACGAACCAAGTAAAGAGAAAACTTCAGAGAAAGCAGAGATGTCAGTAGACGCGTTCTTGAAGTAGATAAGGCACAAACCAAAAAGAGAGAGAGACCATAAGAGACCAGAGTAGAGAAAGTAAAGAAACAGAAAGAAAAGATAAAGAAATAAAAAAGAGTGCTGCGTGCTTTTTATAAGTAATTTTTTTTCTTTTCCTTTCCTTGACCTTCCTTTCCTTGGTTTTTTGTTTTTTTTGATAGAAATCATCTCAGAGAGGACGCCCAATCTTGTGTTACATATAAACTTATTTAGTTGCATAAAACATGCGATGAACACCCTACTTGTCAGTTCTATAAACAGAAAAGCAACCCCTTTTGCTTGTTTTCTTTCTCTTTTGCTATGTGCTCATCCTCTGTGTTTCTATTGAGTAATTCATTATTCTTTGCCCTTGAAGATAAGGGAAGTTTACTTATCATATAAATCAATGCGGAATGTATTTCGTAATAGAGGACTTTGAATTGTAATCATTCCCAGTTTCCTTTTTTTCTTTCCATGAGAAGATCATCCTGAAACAATAACAAACTTTCTTATTCATATGAAAATGTCAATAACCAAAAGAGCAAAGAAAAGTTTAGCTGTCTAAAAAAAAAGAAAGAAAGAAAAAGAAAGAAAGCTATTTTACACACAAACTGAAAGTACTGATTACTGGTGCCTGAAGATGAACTAACTATTGTCTTTTTTATTTATTTTTTTAATTTTTTTAATTTTATTTTTTATTTTATTTTTATTTTTTTTTATTTTATTTTTTTTTTTTTTTTTTTTTTTTTTACCTTGAGCACAAAAAGTATCTCAGTTGATCCGTGCACTATGCATACGCTTACCACATTTTAGATCCATGGGACAGTTGCTTACTTTTCCCTGAAAATAGATCCTGAGAAATTCGTCGCTTTTTTTTTGTTCACTATAAAACTCATACTGATTGCTTCTCTTTCTAAGTGAATAGACTATAAACTAGTTCTATACGTTATCTTTAGCTATCAGTTTAGTGATGAAGAAAAGATGACATGATGTAAACAAATGTTTTTACTTTGGTGACACAAACAAGTATAAAGCAGACACTATACTTCCTTCAGGTCTAAAAACCAAAATAAACGATACAAGTAAAAGAAAATTGGGTGTCTTTGATACATATATATGCTATGATGCATTGTTAATAGTCATATAAAAGCGTATAAAAGCATGCAATATCTATGGTTCTATATAAGCGGGAAGACTAAACTATTAGTAAAAAGTGTCTTCTAAAAAGAAATAATATTCTTTTCTCTCTTTCAAAAAGAAAAAGCCTTACATCACATTTCAACAGTATTTACCTTTTCTTTTTTTTGAAGACCAAAGTGCCATGAGAACGAGTAAGGTTATATAGAGACCACAAGTTGAAACTTTTTAACAATGCCTTTTTTTATATAGTACCAGAAGAGTTAATACAATACAGGTTACCACGCGGTTACATACCAGATACAGATCAAATTAGCAAATCGTAGCACAGAATCAGTTTATTATTGATCTGATCACCACTTTGCTTCTGAGAGTTCCTTTAGGCACTTATAAGGCTGGCGACAATATGTTTATCGATGGCACAGTGTGTGAAGCTCTTTATATACCTCATTCATCAGATCTTGTAGGCTTACCTCCTGTAGTAGCAGAAATACAACACACAGTGACACGCGAGTTTATGTGTCGAGCCGTCCAGTACTGCCTGAATGTGTACAAGCGTTTCCACATTTTATCAATTTTATTCATCGTCTGTACCTCGAAAACAAAGTTCAAAACTCTGAGAGGCCTCTTCAAATCTGTCAAAAACAAGTCTAACCTCTTAGAAACACCTTGCTGCCACTTCGCAACTGGTTGCTTCATGCTGACCAAACAGAGTATCCATCCTTTTATTGACAATCACGATACCAAGAAATTGGATCCTTTGGTTGTCTTTGTTCATTTCTTGACTTCTGGCCAGCAAAACATAATCACTATTGACCGATGGGACAACCCAACCAATACAAGACTGTACTTTGTCACAATGGAAATGGTCAAAAATAACAGAAAAACAGAGAACGACAAAGTCGAAGCGTTACAAACGATTTGTCAAGCAACACAAAATCAATTTGAGAGAATAAGGACGACCGTTTTCGACAACCCCAGCCGAGCGCATCAATACGCAGAAGTAGGACGGCACTATAGCGCAAGTCTTGAAGTACGACGCAATGAAGCAAGAATTAAACAATACACCTCCAGAAGCAACAACACCAATGGAGCTTCCTAAAGACTTTGACGGCGCTTCTAGTTCTATAAATTCCAAATACAAAGATTTGATTGCATTCATCGATGCTTGGGAGCAGAATAACAAAGGTCGAATGAATTGGTCTGCCTGTTGGGAAGATGGAAAGAAAAAAGGTCTGTTCAATGAGTACTCAAATACCCATAGCTTGAAGAATATATACCACAGAGCAAAAAATGATACCTAATCACCATTAGCACCGTTTATATGACAAATTAGTAATTAATGAAAAAATTATCAGTCAGGATTATCCCAATGTTTTATCGTAAAAAAAAAATACAGTTTTCTCATATCCAAACTTTTTTTTTGTGTGTTAATGACGATGTTGACGATGTTGCAATCTGCATTTACTTTATTCTCTAAAGCTATGAGCTAAAGATATTTCTCTTCATCTACATACTAGTTTGAGTGAATTCGTCAACCGTTGACAAACGTAATGCAACAGGAATCTTGGAGTAAGAAATCATTTACAATTAAAAATAACTTTGTCTAATGAAAAATGAAATTCTCTGAAATCAAAAGAAATACACCAGCTCTAGTTAGCTAATTCCAACAATTGCTTTTACCAAAGTAGACAAAAATAATGACATTTGTTTTCGAGAAAACGCCAAATTCCATAAGTTTGACTATATCGTACACACAAAAATGTTTGGGTCAGAAATTGAATACAAAATTGGCTTTCAGTCGAAAAAGTGGTCGAGGGGTAGTAAAGCCGTCGTTTGTCAGAGATACGTAAGACTTTTACTATAACAATACATAGCGAGAAATGCCTCCATAGTGCTATAAAGTACTGTAAAAGCATTAATTCTGCAATACGTATATAAAAAGTGTATGCTATCGTCCAAAAGCGAGAATACATTTCCATCTTTTTCTCATCTTTTTCATGACAACTTTATTGTACTTTTTACACCATTAAATGCGCCATACTAAGCTATATAGCTTTAATCAATGCGTCTCTTGATTATTCCTTATAAACTCTGATAATTTTAACCAAATTAATGACTTTTACTACCCAGGGCAAGCAGAAACAGAGAAGAAAATGTTGGTGTTTGAAATATCCAGCCCTTCTCCTACAAGACATTTGATGCTTATCATGTCCAAAGATGCTCTCTTTGGACTCAAGAGTTTCCAAGGTTATGATAACTTCTACTTGTAAATACCTAAGCCATTGCTTAGAGGACATTTGTTACAAATGCCTGTCATTCTAGAGCCGAGATTTAACAGTTTCTCTCTTTTGATCTTTCTTTTACATACAACCCTTCAACAGAACTGTTAGTACACAACTAAAAAGAGTTATAAACAGACAGCCCCTAAGCAAAAAAAAATGAGGATCATTATTTCTTTTTGTGGCAAATACTTGCTTATGATCAATAAGTAACGTTGCAGCAATGATTGGCTACAGAATTTAGGGCTGCTGATTTAATGATAGTCAATAAGCCTGTTTTTTTTGTAACATGCAACAAGTGAAGGACAGAGAAAAAAGAAAAAGAAAAGACGTGTAATCAATTATTTTAAATACTAGTATATACTTTATTGAATAAAAAGATAAAAAAAAACTGGTACTTTAGCCAAATACTGTAATTGTTTGTTTCCAGGAACTAGGACGAGGACATTTGATTTCTATAAAGACAAAGCAAGTGCTTTCACAATTTGTCTTTTGTATTTTGAATGACTTTCGATGCTATTAACAACTTTGTTGGTCTGTGTAACGTTAGAGGGTCGATTTACTCACAGGTATAAAAACATACGCTTTTATATGACTATTAACAATGCATCATAGCATATATATGTATCAAAGACACCCAATTTTCTTTTACTTGTATCGTTTATTTTGGTTTTTAGACCTGAAGGAAGTATAGTGTCTGCTTTATACTTGTTTGTGTCACCAAAGTAAAAACATTTGTTTACATCATGTCATCTTTTCTTCATCACTAAACTGATAGCTAAAGATAACGTATAGAACTAGTTTATAGTCTATTCACTTAGAAAGAGAAGCAATCAGTATGAGTTTTATAGTGAACAAAAAAAAAGCGACGAATTTCTCAGGATCTATTTTCAGGGAAAAGTAAGCAACTGTCCCATGGATCTAAAATGTGGTAAGCGTATGCATAGTGCACGGATCAACTGAGATACTTTTTGTGCTCAAGGTAAAAAAAAAAAAATAAAAAATAAAATAAAAAATAAAATAAAAAATAAAATAAAAAATAAAATAAAAAATAAAATTAAAAAAAATTAAAAAAATAAATAAAAAAAGACAATAGTTAGTTCATCTTCAGGCACCAGTAATCAGTACTTTCAGTTTGTGTGTAAAATAGCTTTCTTTCTTTTCTTTCTTTCTTTTTTTTAGACAGCTAAACTTTTCTTTGCTCTTTTGGTTATTGACATTTTCATATGAATAAGAAAGTTTGTTATTGTTTCAGGATGATCTTCTCATGGAAAGAAAAAAAGGAAACTGGGAATGATTACAATTCAAAGTCCTCTATTACGAAATACATTCCGCATTGATTTATATGATAAGTAAACTTCCCTTATCTTCAAGGGCAAAGAATAATGAATTACTCAATAGAAACACAGAGGATGAGCACATAGCAAAAGAGAAAGAAAACAAGCAAAAGGGGTTGCTTTTCTGTTTATAGAACTGACAAGTAGGGTGTTCATCGCATGTTTTATGCAACTAAATAAGTTTATATGTAACACAAGATTGGGCGTCCTCTCTGAGATGATTTCTATCAAAAAAAACAAAAACCAAGGAAAGGAAGGTCAAGGAAAGGAAAAGAAAAAAATTACTTATAAAAAGCACGCAGCACTCTTTTTTATTTCTTTATCTTTTCTTTCTGTTTCTTTACTTTCTCTACTCTGGTCTCTTATGGTCTCTCTCTCTTTTTGGTTTGTGCCTTATCTACTTCAAGAACGCGTCTACTGACATCTCTGCTTTCTCTGAAGTTTTCTCTTTACTTGGTTCGTTTTCTTTGCTTGGTTTTCTTTGCTTGGTTTTCTTTGCTTGGTTTCTTTGCTTGGCTATCTTTGCTTGGTTCTTTCTATTTGGTTTTAAGCAGCTACGTATTGAGGATATACTAGTTATCTGTAGTCTAACAATGGTATGGGTAGGTGTGGTTGCGGTAACGCTACACTGGTGAAAGCTAGTGTAGTTGTTTCTTGTTGTCTCTGTCTCTGCTTGGTATCTTTGCTTGGTTTTTTATTTGTTTTAAGCAGCTACGTATTGAGGATATACTAGTTATCTGTAGTCTAACAATGGTATGGGTAGGTGTGGTTGCGGTAAACGCTACACTGGTGAAAGCTAGTGTAGTTGTTTCTTGTTGTCTTTGTCTCTGGTTCGTTTTCTGGCAAGTACCTTATCTATTCTAAGGATGCGTTTGCTGATATCTCTGCTTTCTCTAGGATTTTCTCTCTATTTGGTTGGTTTTGTCCACTGGTGTTGCTCTCTCCATGGCTTTCAGTGTTCGATCCTAATCGTTGTTGGCCTGTTATTAGCCAATGACTTACTTTCTTATTTACTGCCTCGAGAGTAAGGTACGGGGGTATATAGGCGTTGGTCTGCAGCGGGATGAAGGGTAGTCGCTGGGAGTTATTGACGGTTTCTTATAGCTATCTGGCATTTCCTAGTGTATCGCAAGCCTGAAAAGGTATCAAGAAAGGAAGTGAAGGAGTACAAGTCAGTTGCCTTCTCGTGGCTACTCCTGTGAGTAACTTCTCTATGAAGTGAAACTAAAGACTGACATTATTTAATAAACATTTGCTTTTAATAATGAATAATGACTTGTACTTTTTTTTATTGCAATGATGTTTTCTTGAAGACTAGCTGCTTTTACTTTTGTCTTTAGAAGTTTAAGGGCTTGCTTAAAGCAACGATTTACTTTTGTTTCTTTTTTACATTCTTTTTCAAGGTAAGTTCATGTTGCTTATTTGATTTCTATATATCTTTCAATAGTGTAGTTGTGTTTGTTTAGTGTTGTTCAGACATAAAGCCACACTGAAACTTGTGTCATCAAAAGCAACGCGCAATAACTTATGTTTATTGACTAGTCTACTCAAACTGGTTTTTTAGTTATCTAAAAGGTCGTCTAACAAGATGTACTGCTGGTTCAAGACTATTTCTCTCCCTGGTTCTACTCTGATTTGGTCGGTAAGCTCTATGATAAACAAGGTGTACTCTACTCAGGCTGGTTTCTCAACTGTCTGTAAGGCGTTTGATCAAGTGGTATAGGGCTTTCAAACCCTTTTCTTCAGACTCTGGCTCTCTTTAGGGTTTGGAAGATATACATTCAAGGCTTAGTAAGTTTTGTAGCGTAAGTCTACTTTTTTGAGTCTTTTTGTGTCTATTCGAGAGTCTGATCAACTCTTGTTCAGACAAAAAGAGGATCTGAAAAGGCTTGATTACCCTGATCAAACCCATCATGTGTTTGTGATGTGCATATCCTTTTTCTTTGTTGTCGTATTTGTGTAATAAGAGCTATGCGTATATTCCATTACATCAACGGCTTTGTCCACTCAAGTATGTTGCTTGTTGTCTTTCGTCTTTAGTATGAGGTGATCAGGACTCATTTCACTTGCGAAACTACAGTGATGTTGTCTTCCATATGCCATAACACTACGCTCTGATTTTGTCTAACTGGTGTTTAGTCTTCCTCTTAACTCGATCGAAACGCATTTGCGGTTTGTGAGCGTCAGTAAAAAGAAAAAAAAAAGGTCTTAAGCAGAGTGCAAGAGACCAATGTTTGAAATACTGAACCTCCCACTTGCATGATATGCACCATTTGTCATACTCAATAGTTACTCTTTTTGACCTCAGAAATGTCATGTATAATAGCAAAACTTACTCTCAAACGCTCTGTAAATCGAATGTTATATGAATTAGTACCTATTTATTAGTCAAAATTTATTGAAAAGGGGCTTCTTTTGTACTGATTACAGTGTTCAATCAACTTTGAATGCAGATCTGAGGGAGCTCAAATCAATCGTCTTTATCATCTTAGTAAACTCTTTTTTCTATCAGAAGTACCTAGACCTAACTCACCTTATTTCGGTTGGATCAGTCCTACATTGGGTCATTCCAAAAATTCTTGTTTTTTTTTCCATCTTCACGAACCTCTGTGGATCCTCCTGTAGTGATCTGAGCACTTTTCAATACAAAATATAATAAATAGTCTTTCATAGTATAAATGAATAATAACTTATAGCACTATACATCATAGATATAAAGCAAGCATTGTATAATGACAGTAAATAACGATAACTGGGATAATATGGATATTTACAAATAAGGAAACCGTAATTGTACCTTTTAGATAACCAGGAGATTAAAGAGAATCTACATAGTCAACTCCCAGACACAAGCTGTCAAAGTTTAAGTAATCAATAACAATATTACAATTAGTCAATAAATCAGGTAGTATAAAGACAATCTGGAAAAGATATACTTTAGAGAATTATCATTATTTTTGTAATAAAGAAATACTGAACAGTCTCACTGTATTCCTTTGTTTTCTTTTCTGTTTTCTATATTTCTTTTCACAACCTAAACACCACAACTGATATAGGCTAACTTAGAATCACATAGGCTGACACAGGCTGACACAGGCTGACACAGGCTGACATAGACTGATATAGGCTGATGTTGTGAACATATATGAATTCGTATGCGTAGATCAATAAATGATGATCATGGCAAAAGACCAGATCACATCTATGGCAATTGCAATGGATCTATAGTCACTGACATTCACTCATTCTACTAAAAGTACTACATTGTCTTCATATTCAGAGATTATGAGCCTAGTGACTCTGTTATTATTAATGGCCCTCATAAAGTGACAGTTAGAGCTGACAAATACATTAGCATTGGCATTTGACAAATATGTAATAGTTTATTCAAGTTCAGGTCAGATCATGTACTATTGGCTGAGCTGACAACTTCCTCTAAAGGCATTTCTCTTAATTGCTCCTGATCTACAAATCAATCCGTATCAAGTAGCTAACCCAAACAATATTTTGGCCGAGAAGAAAAAGTATAAATACCTCGACATTTTATAGCAATTGAAAGATAACATTTCTTGGAGAAATAAAAGCCTATACAAGTTCTAACGGACTTTCTCTGTGTTCTTACCTTTTCTCTTATTCTATATCTATTCTCTCTTCATCTCATAACAGCTGCTTTGTTCTGTTTTAAACCAGGCTCACAGGTCAACTACACCCTTCCTTTGCATAGATTTTAGCAAACTCGAATTAAGCAAGCGGCAGCTGAAAATCATTTTTGAAAAGCAACTACTAGCCGTTGACAACGTCTTCTCTTCCCAAATGACAACTGCTGCAATTCGATATCCTTATTGAATGCTCTTGATTATCATTTTTGCTAGGTCACTCTTGCAGCAGAGTAGTTACGACAGCTATAGCAACCATAGTAGCCATAGTAGCCATGGTAACCATACACTACAGCGTGAGCAACTGCATTTTTCTTCCATCGCTTACGCTGTAGTGACAACTCTATAAAAAAGTAACTAGAGCGATGGAGAAAATTATAGAAAGACTTGTATACCTCAGGCCTTCGTTGTCAGTGTGATGGACTTACCTAAAAAAAAAAAGAAAAAAAAACATTTTCAAACATCATAAAAATATGACAGTTATGCCGAAATTACAAGTATGCCATTTGCGTACTCAAAAAAATATTTTTTGAAAAGCAATAAAAAACCGCTATTTTAGAATCAAAACCATTATTGTAAAATAAATCAAAAATATTTTCTGCAACGACAAAAAATAAAAAAGTAAAAGATTTCATATTTTCTGCTTGAAATTTTGAAAAAATCTTGTTTTTCGATTTTTCTGTTTTAAAATAAAAAACAAGTCTACCGACCATTAATCTCTTCTTTTAAACTAAAGCAGTAAAGCCATTATCCGGTAGACTCGTTTATTTATTTAAGGCAGAAAAATTGAAAAATTGGCTTTTTTCTAATTTTAAGCAGAAAATATGAAATCTTCTGCTTTTTTATTTTTCTGTCATTACAAAAAATATTTTTGTTCTGTTTTATAGTGGTTTTTATTTTTATTTTTTTTAATACACAAGTGGCATACTTGTAAGTCGGTATGAATGTTAAAGGAGTTTGAAAATACATATGTATTTTCTTGCATTCATGAGAAGTTTCTAACATCTACGGCTATTACCGCGATCTTTTATGGCTCTACCTCTGCTTCCTGTAGACATATCGAAAATTATAGTGGTTCCTTAATTCTCCATATTTTTGATCTGTGCTGGTGTTGATCATACACGCCTCACTATTGACGAGCCGTACAAATAGTCCCAATTCATGATAAGAGCAACTCGGCTGACCCAGTCAGCTACTGACTAATTAGTCTGACTATTATCTCCGGAAAAAACAATCGAAAAATGCATCAAAGAACTTCTCCAAGGCCAAGTATCGTCCTTAGACACTGCCCAAGGTGGCTTTAGAGAACGCAAAAGTGTCCTTGACCAAGCTCTTTGTCTTTCAGAAATTCGTAAGTTGTTTTTTCTTCACAACAATACTCAAGAACATTAGCTCTGTACTTTATTGGAGTACTAGATGGACCTCTATACATTTGCTTCTATCCCAAATCACTCTATATAACATACTACCACAAACAATCTACTTCTTCCAACATCCAACCAAATGTTTCTATTTCTTCTCTGGTTACAAACTCACGCCCAGACACACCATTAGATCAGCGCTCTTCTCTCCATTCCTTTTTTGCCCCTATTCTCTTAAGGTGTTTTTTTTAGCTTAGTAAAGTCATTCATTTCTATAAATTGATCGAGTCTGAACAGTCGAAGGCCACATTGGACCATGTGTTCAAAAGGATCTTTTCTACAAAATCAATAAACTAGCAAACTTTAAGTATGAGTTTCAGAAAATTAACAACAGTGTGCAAGTATGTTATTTGTGCCAACCGAAATACATTTCTGGAAGATAACTACTTTTAGATTTGAAAAAAAAAAGAAAAAAATACATTCTCGTCACAGCGTAAGCGATTGTATTTTTCTTCGATATTTGAGTAAAGGTTTGGCCAGAATCTTCCATTGCTTCTGCTGTAATGTCTTTAATTCTAAAGAAATTAAATATAAAAAGAAATTGTGATAAAAAACAATATAAAAATAAAAAATGTTGTCGAAACATTAACATAAATCTACATAAAACTGTATAAAATTTCATATATTGTCAAAGAAAGGAGCACAAGAAACTAACAAAATTTTTTTCACAAGACTATTATGCTAAGGAGAAAATTAATTTCAAGAATCCAAAACACATACAGTTCTTCTATTATTCTGCCATCCATGGTCATCCATGGTCATCCATAGTCACTCATGATAACGCGTGTTCATCTATGTCAACCCATACTCATCCATTCCATTCTAATTCATCCATGATATTCCTTGCTATTCTACCAATGTCCAAATAAGAGCGAGAAAATTCAAATCAAATAAATAATTCTGTTTATTGAGTCATATCTTTAGATGATTGCTTATATAAGGGTTCAGCATGCTCTGCAGAGATCCTTGTTCTATAAAGGAACCTTAGATAGTACAATTGGTTCAGATAAATCACTAGCTACTGCTGTACAAGGATCTGCATTAGATAAACCAGCCAATCTCTAACCAGCTCAGTGTGATTGACAGGTTGATGCATAAGATTTTCTGTTTAATTCGAGACATTTTAGCAATAAGACAATGACTGCATAATTAGATGTAATATTGTAGCTTTTGAGGTGTATGTATCTTGACTATAGATAAAGCAAGCAATCAAATTAGAGCTGTGAACAGATGGTAACATGTAGTCATTTGTACCAGATTTAATGAGTTATGACGCTTTCATGAGCAAACGTTCTCTTTCTTTTTTTTTAAGCATTGTCTTCAAATCAGCATTCAAAGTCTGTCGTACATTGTGAAGGATGTAAAAGAGACCCTTTTCAGTTGACATCGATTAGCGAGCGAGTACTCATACTAGTACCAAACGATGTGCATAACATTGAAAAGTAAGTCAAACTATAGCATTTGACACTTTTCAAGTCAAGAAAAAAAAATACACACACAGTTTTAGATATAACCAATAATAAATGTCTGGTATTAGATACTCTCTGCTTTGAAGACTATTTCTTTTTCTTTTCTATCAAGGCTAAGTGAATGCAAATTCACTTCCTCATAATAGTTTTGTCGTGCCAGCACTAATCTGTATGATTTCAATCAAACATGTCAAAAACAACTTCATTCTCTATTGCCTTACACAAATCTTTTGAAGCAGAATATTCATTTGCATGCGAAAGACACTACTATTATAAGACAAGACAATGGTATGAAATTATGGAGGACTTTACTTTTTTTATTTTATTTTATACATGTGTTTATTTCAAAAAAAAATAAAAATAAAAAATAAATAAATGGCGTCAGTCTTTAGTTTCACTTCATGGAGAAGTTACTCACAGGAGTAGCCGCGTGAAGGCAACTGACTTGTACTCCCAGGCCCTCTTCACTGACTCATGTCAACCGCCTGCAGATTGATAGTGTTGCCAGATCCTTAGAAAAACCTCCCTCATCAATAGCAACGGTCACCATCATGCTTGACCGGCGGCAACGTCTATACACTCCCTTATCGCAAAGCCAGCACAGTCGATAAGAAAGCGCAATCATTGACTATAACAGACACACCGGAGCTGGTACATGCGCTGATATTGACGAAGGCGAGCACTTACCTCAAAGGGACCGGACCATGAAACGAGCAGCTGAAAGTAAAGAAAGAAAAAGAAAAGATTTAAAGAAAAGATTTAAAGAAAAGAAGTAAAAAGAAAAAGTGCTGCGAGACTTTATATATCCCCTGTTTTTTTTTCTTTCTGTCTCTTTCTATTTGTTTCTTTTGATAAGGATCAGTTCATAAAGAGAAGAAAGAACGCCTGATTTTGTATTACATTAAAGCATAAAACATATGATCAACTCTTTACTTCTCAGCTCTTTAGACGCAAGAATAGTCCGTAGAACTATCGCCCATCTTTCCCTGAAAAATAAAGCTTTCTTTTTGTTTGCTACAGAGCTTATATCCATTACTTTCTCTTCCTCTTTCAGCCAAAAAGAAACATGAACTAGTTCTAGAAATTGTCTTCAAACTTTAGTTTAGTAAACAAGAATTGTATATATGACAAACAAATGTTTTAACTAAGTTACACAAATAAAAGCAGATCACACACTTTGTTCCCTTCAAGTCCAAAAGCTAGGATAAATGCTTGAAATAGAAATGAACAGCAACTTGTGTTTTTCTTAAACAAGGTATTGAGATCTCTTCGACCAGTCATGCTGTACTGTCAAGAAGCATAAAGAACCATGTACTGCTGCATACCTGTGAGTAAATCAATTTTCCAGAGTTATGCGGAAAACTTTTCCATCCTCAATGAGGTAAAGTATTCAGCCTCTTTAATTAACACAATACAAACAAACCCAGAAAAAGAAAAGAGGCCTTATTCGAAGAAAGCAATTGGCTAGCAAGACATATTCACATGAAAATAAAAAAAAATAGAATAAAAAGTCTAGAGCAAGTTTTTTTTTTCAAGGCTCGAATAAAAAAAAAAGGTATACATACAACATTGAGTTCATGTAACTGATACTTTTAGTCTCTCTGTTTATCTCTCTTCAAATCAAGCGTCTTTCCTCTACAAATCTAACGACTCAAACTATTCAATGCACGATTTATTGGGGCTTTCTCTATTTATCTGCTTTCTCTTACACAACAGAAACAAGTAAATAAGAAAAACTGGCGTACTGAAAAAAAAAAAAAAAAACTTCTCTTTGATTTTATCTCTATTGGTGACTGGTTGGTAGAAAGAAGACTGATGTCGTTTATTGAATCGCGTAAAACAAGGGTATCTGTTGTTGGCCAACTTCCGCAAACGTCTACTCCTGATAGGCAAAGTACCAAAAGAGGGAAACGCGCATCGGCATTGTCTTGAAGGTTACACAGTAGATCTGTAGGGATTATTAGTAAAGGAGTTCACAAGCATTACCTGTGCTTCTCTTTCTCAGCACTGATAGGCTTGTTGTGAGGAAAGAGCTAACAGAACTAAGCTTTAGTAATAAGGCCTATCCCCTGGATTCTACTACAAGGTTACCGATATGATACGGCTAGTACTATATAAAGATCTGCTGCCTACTGTCTACTACAAAAAGTCTAATACAGAATGTTTATTATAAACTATATACCATCAATGATTTACTGTCTACTATGCAATATTTGCTCGTTACTATTTAACAATATCACAAAATGACTATCATCGCTCTATTGAAACAAAACTTTTAGCACACACATATACATACATGATTACCGTACAGTAAATAAAAACCGGCTCTTTATCTTTGTTTGCAGTGCACTTAAAGCAACTTCTAAGCCTTTCCGATGGGTATAATCATTCTGTTTCTCCATGAATTTATTAAAAGTTCTTTTCATTAAGCAGTAGAATAAGACCTTGTTTTATATAATATTTATGCAGATGGATTGGCCTTCTTTTTTATCTCAATGTTATGTATATTTCAAAGATGATTCTGAAAACTATTTTTACTTGAATAACTATAATCAAAAGAGCGACAATAAAAGTTGGGATCTGCAAGATCTGGCAGAATAGCAGGATTTCTATCTCTTACCTTTTTGCCTCCAAAACTCACTTTATGCACTAAAGCAAGGTGTGATCTAAAGCTGCTTTTATTCAAGTACTTGGATTCATATGTTTCGCAGTAATTGTTGCGATCAAGTGGCACAGTTTCCTTTTTTCTTCGGTTGATACTGACATAAATACTGTGTGTGTGTCTCGAAGATGAACATAAAAACGGTCCTTGTCAGCAGCAATTCTGTTGCATGAACTACAGTAATGGTTTGGGTCATTCGGGTTAGCTTGAATATTTGGATTAGGTATATGTCTTCTTCGGATATGATGTCTATAAGACCCTCTTGTTTTATACTTTTTTTTTTTTTTTTTTTTTTTTTTTTTTTTTTTTTTGCATGATCGGCAGTATTTGACGTATTTCTAGTGTTGAATGAATTATTTTTTTTTAAGTCTAATTCAGGCTTAATTAATACATCGCATTCTGCTTGATTGTTGTTGGTTCTCTCGTTTGATTCTGATATGAGAAAAAGAGAGAGAGAAAAAAAAATGAATTCTGTTTGTAGTGAGCCTTGAATGCCTGAATCATCAGCATTGACATCATACTTTAAGCAGAAAAAAAAAATAAGGATTCAATATCCGCAGATATATATATATATTTAAAGGAGGGAGTCTTTCTTTCTTTCTTTTATTTCAAGTATGCTGTGTCCAACGATCAGTCAAGTTCAGAGCACAATCATGCGTATGGTGAATGCTTCTCCTATTGTATTACTGATACTGATATTAACCTGGAGTTATTATGCTTATAATGTGAGTTTATGTTATGGACTCATAAAAGACGGACATACCCTTCAAGGTAGTATACATAGACACTTTTACGTCTTGACTGATAGTAGATAGGCATTTTATACATGTTATTCTATCACCCTTTATTTGTACTATGTCTGTGGTCCTACTGGACTGTCTGCGAAACCTCCCCTGGATATACGATGGATGTATGATAACCCCAACTCTATGATGATACAAGTACTCACTTAAATATATAGATGTACAAAAAAAGAGATGAAGAACAAGAAGATGTTGTTGGATTATTAGCAGATACAGAAGAACAATACAAATTACAACAAACCAATACAAATGAACCTATGTATCCGTCCATTACTGTCAAAAGAGACGGTGCAAAGAGGTTCTGTCAAAAATGTCAACTCGAGAAATTTGATCGAACACATCATTGTAGACAATGCAAACGATGTGTACTTAAAATGGACCAGTAAGTATAGATGTAGATTGTCTTGCAATGGATTAACATACTCTAGTCATTGTCCTTGGATCAATAATTGTGTTGGATTTCGTAATTATAAGGCATTCTATTTGTTTCTGTTCTATGCTTCTTTGTACTGCATCTATGTGTTCTCAACTACATTACCCTATTGTATCGTACAAGCCAATGGACCTATGAGTATCTTAGGACTCAGTATTCATTGGGCACTATTGGTGTTTATCTCGGGTGTCTTTGGTGTATTTCTGATCCCATTTACTCTGTTTCATACTCGTCAATTATGCAAGAATCGCACTACCATTGAATTCTATGAAAAATCGAATTTTAGACTAGGCACAAGAGATGTGATGCGAAGTAAATATTTTAATCCTTGGGATATAGGCACAAGAAAGAATATTGAACAAGTGTTTGGTAAAGACATGGTTTTATGGTTTATTCCTGTGCCTAGTCAAATGTAAGTCTTTGTTCAATACACAAGGTTGAAACTGACTCTTATAGACATCATGATGGACTATCATTTCCTATTAATACATATGCTTATGATACATTAGGTGCAGAAGAAGATGAAGAAGAAGAACAAGAAGAAGAATAAGCTATACCCCTCTCAATGATCATATGACTATATAAATAAAATACTTTTTTTTTCTCTTTTTTCTTTTCTTTAGTATGAATCAGCCACTTCCTTATCAAAGTATTGCTATACCTTATTATATAGTCATCAAAAGTAAAGATAATCATCGCCATTTTCCTGTCAACGCAGCCTTTTTTCTTCTTGGCTTGTAAGTCACATCATGACTATAGACTATAGCTCATCCTTTTAGCTTATTTCCTCCAGTGTGGTGGATAGGTTGTTGTTGGAAAAGTCAAGATAGATATGAGAAAGCATGGCGCAGGTTAAATATCAGTATGACTGTATTGACTATCACACTTTTTATTCTATTTCATCTTGTGTTGGTATTCAATCAAACAGAGGATAATCTAGACCCATTGCCTCCATTGCCTCCTTAGTCTTCTTCCTCACTGCTACTACTGTCTGTGTCTGACATGACAGGTCGATTGTTATTTACAAATAAATCATCTTCACTTTCACCTTCTTCTTCTCCTTTTTGATCCGAGAATTCAGAAGGCCATTTTCCTGCTGCTTTTAAATCCTTGATATGCTTGGGAAACAACACATGGACAATTTCACCACCCACTTTCTCAGAGACACCCACTGTAGGATCCACAATCACATAATGACCTAATAACCCTATATCAGTCATCCATAGTGTCTAATCGCACACTAACCTCTTTTCACCCAAACAACGTTTCGGTAACGAGGTGGGAGTGTCACCAGTGTCTTTGATCCATCTGTAAATTCAACTTCATGCTGATGATTACCTCGGGGACCTAATGCTCGAGCATATCTCTGTTGTCCTTCAATCTCAAAGTCATCATCGAGTTGATTTCTTGTGGTTTGTTTCTTGCCCATACGTTGAAAATTTTTTTTTATAAAAAAAGAAAGCGAAATAAAATAACCATTATTTTTTATTTTTATTTTTATTCATGGCACAACAACATCCTTCTTATGGTACTTCATTACCTTTTCAAACAATACATCAACCCTCTCTTTCATCACCAGATAAAAAAGAAGAAGAGTTAAAGCTTGATGAACGTCTTAAACGACACCATGATGGACCTATTCTTTGGTTTGCAGGACCTCCATTGAATAAAATGCCTGATACAAAACCAGTCCATTCATTAGACTATCTCGCATGGAAGCAAAAACAATAAGTTTTATTATATATTAAATAAATGGAATGTCATCCATGTCAAGATCATTGTCTAATAATGAATCTACATCTTCTTGAATGTGCTTGGATGCTTGCTCATCTAATTCATGGGGCTTTTGAGCATCGGATTTTTGTATTTCATCAGGCTTGTGTTCACTGGAAGATAGGAAAGTACGTGTCAGGGTCGATCGCATCTTGTTCATGATGGATGTGGAGGTAGGACTTGTACTCAGTATCTTGGGATCCACGGATTGTTCAAGTGCTTCATCACCACTTGTGTTACTAGAGATAGATATTTTGCGATTAGTCTTTAAACTTGAGCTTGATGGTGCCTTCTGAAGACTAGAACTACTGTCTGATCTTGACGTCAGACTTCTAAGTAGACTTCGTGTCGAATGACTTGAAGAGGCAACCACGGATCCTGGAGGTAAGGCAGATACATCTGGCTTAATAGGCTTTGGCTTAGGTGAGGAAGGTTCAGGAAGGATATCGAGTTCTGGAATTTCAATGTCTGCCACAGGAGCCTTCCAATAGTTCCAGTCATTGAACTCTTCATCTATCACACGGTTGATAGGAGGGAAGATTTGATCGACCAAGTCATTCAGGTGAATATAAGACGACTTGAATCCAAGCAGCAATTCCAGCTTCAGATCACCATAAGGGTCAATTGTAAAAATACGTGACGTAGGCACATTGACAGAGCGATACGAACGCGCATCCGTAATACGATTACCAAAGCCTGCATAAAACGGATCTCGACCACCAAACAGGCGCTGGATATCTTTCAGACAGGCCATCTTGAACACTTCTGGTTTGCGCATGATGACTTCACGATGGAAACTTCGAAACAGTCTATCAGGCGACATGATGACAGGTCCATCAGGTAACTGGTACTTATCTTGCACTACTTTCTTTAGATAGTCTCTTGTATAGTCTGCTTGACCAATGGCTCTACTGGTCAAATAGAGGAAATGATAGCCATTGTTGGCAATGTCAGTATAGAGTTTGGCTACACCCATATGTGTCCAATCCTTGCCAATCATGGTAAACACATGGCCTAGTGTGTCTGATTTAGTGATGGTACCATCAATATCTGAAATGACAATCTGAATATCATGATGCCAGTAAAAGATCTTGGCTGCACATGTTGCTGTGCCTTGATAAGCACTACTGACAGAGAAAGTGATGGTATTCATCCCCTTTTTGAGGTTCAGGCTCTTGAGTTGATCTGAAGTAAGACGCAATGTCTTGGCATACACTTTACGAGGACCTGAAGGAATATCAGCCATTTCTTCTGGGTGTACATGATCAGCAGACCAGCCTACGGAGGTGGTAGTGGTAGTGGTAGTGAAAGTCGTTGTCTCTTTCGATTCATCCAGTGTCTTTTCTTTTTCTACTTTTTCTTCATTCACAGGAGCAGCTACAGAAGACCGACTGAGCCATTGTCGCCATCCTTTACCAAACTGATAGGTTTCTCTGCTGTCTGAACTCTCTTCGGTTGTGTCTTCTAATGGTTTCTTGAACAACAATAGAGAAGTGAACAAAGGGCCTGTGCGACCTGCTGCATAATATCGCTTCTTGAATCGAAACACCAATCGTTTGTCGTTCAGGATGTTGGGATTATGGGTAAAGTTGTCATAGGTCACAATATGTTGATCAAAGACATGTCCATTTTCGACTTCATCTCTACCAAAGGCCGAGAATCCACATAAACTCATTTCGATACGGTAGGTTTCACCTGACTTGAGTTCGATACTGTCTTCTGCAGAGGGTTTTGGAGAAGTGGGTTCTGAATCCTGGGTGGCTCTTCTACGTGTACCCCATCCCCATAAGCTCTTTTCTTCTTGGTTGACCACTTCTTCTTCTTCTTCTTCTTCTTTGGGTGTACTGACAGGGGACTCAACTATCTGGTCTTTATGGTTGTCCAACAATAACTTTTCTATCACTTGTTGTTCCAATGCTTGTTCTTCTTTATTTAACTTGAGTTGGTTCGCTTTTTCCCAATCATCATCGTCGTCGTCGTCTTCTTCTTCTCCATTGTTTTTACCTGTCTTGTAACCAGCAATATCCAATACAATGGATTCATCTCCTTTACCATGACCTTCTGTATCAATTGCCAAATCCTGATGTTCTGTATGCACCACAGCATGTGTAACATCCATGACGGTGCTGTAAATATCCCCATGGGCTGGTCGCACAATAAACCTTTCTCTGGCAATGGTGGTGGTAGTAATGGCTTCTGGTATAATCCGGTCAATCACAGACCCACCTTCTTCAATCAGGATATCGTTCTTGGGTTGATTCTCTTCTTCATACACATCCATCTTGGTGACAACTTTGTCCATCTGTTCTTCAATGATCATTTTAGGCGACTGAAGTTCAGCTGGTAACCTGTGTTTCTCTTCGTCTTCAAATGTGTCCTTGGTGTCAACTTCAGAAACATTTAGTTCAATCAGAGACTATATACACACACATACACTTACTTGTTGTATCTTCTTTAGATTCACCAAGATCAAGATAAGGAGGGTCCTAACAGAAAACAATGTCAGTCATCTCGATCAATATAAGCTACAAAGGGGGGGGGGGACTTTTTACTTCATCTTGTTTCTCTATCAATGTGGCCTCCATGATAGGACTTGTCTGAAATTCTTCGGGTACTTCATGTTCTGTCTCAAACACAAAAAAGGCTTCACCTGCCTCACCTACTTTCATGACATAGGGCACGACTTGACCATTGATTTTGATTTGTACCTATCCCGGATCAGTACATACACAATATTGTCTTTCTGATGTTACTTTTTTTTCTTGAGGCATAAGCACAGACAGTTTACCAAAGCGTACATGAAATGGTGAACATGCCAAGTCACCATCTTCTTGTTCTACTACAACAATATCAATAGCACCTGACAAAGTGGCAGGGTTGATTTCATTATAGAAGCTTTGTACTGAAGTCAATAGACTACCCAGTCTTCCTACGTATTCCATAGATAAAAGAAAAACAAAGAGAGAGAATCACATGCGAGTTCGTGGTTTTTATTTTATTTTTCATTGAGAGCGGTTCTTTAAACATTTAAAAGAGCGACATTGTGGATCCATTGACCATGCCATTGAAGTCGAAATATGGCTTCTGGATCTTGATGTACAGAGGGTAATGCATCGATACGAACACGACGTTGTTGAACAAGATGAAGGCTGTCTTGATAGCTTAGTAGCATACTAGGGATACGTATGGTATAAGGTCCTGTCCCTCTTGGTCGAAACAAAGGACTGGCTTTATAGTTCATGAAAATAACAGCGCGGGCACCTGCTTGTTGTGCGTACCATACCTTTTGATAGAAATCGCATTGACCTCGAGACACCAACACAACACGGTCTCGTATAGATTGTGGGTACGGCTCACAGCCATACAGATGATCATGGTTGAACACAACTAAGTCACCATGCACAGGATACCAAGGACCAAATTCAGATGTCATGCCCAGGTATTCAGTACAGTATTGCGTATCCGATGCTTTGATGCTGACTTGGTATTCAGTATCAAGGTAGTTGCGTAGATGAGTAGTGACCTTGGGTTGCTTGACAAACACGCTCAACATGTCTTTGGATGTTGGCAAGTATGCTATCAAGGCGCTCATGGGTATAGTTAAGACCTGGTTTTGATTTAAACTGAATCACTTTTTTTATTACATACTGTTGTTGTGTTTATTATTTACCTAACTGAGGGTGGATAGACTAACAAAGAGAAGAAGATGAACACTATTCGCTCAACCTATATATGTATATATATATATACCTACCTCCTTTGACAAAATAACCATCCGAGTGTCGACCTACAATATCCATCTTGAATCCAGACAACGATTTCACTAAATAACCACCTAACAGTTCCATCAAATTAAATTGGGTTGGTGGGCGACGATGTGTATAGCCAAAAGAAAGACTGTATCGATTCAACAAGGGCACTTGACAGTATCCATGTGTTGTCAATGGTGGTGGTGTGCTTCGGACACCACCTACAATCTCAGCAGCATAATCAGATGAAGGTTGATAAAGCATACTGGTCATGTCCAAATCACCCGGTATAGACATATAATGCAACTGCCTAGGATTGTAGCGTGCACAAGTCCCCGCAGGCGATGTCTGAAGGGACACTGTCGGTGTATGAGGTGGGCTGGATCGATAAAGAGCAGGTGCAGGCAAGATGTGTCCCTCAGTAGTAAAGACGTAGTTTCCATCCATAGTGTTGATGCTATGATCTGTATCAAATAACAAGTAAAGGTACTTGAGTGTCTCACTCAACATGAAACTCTCCATGCGATCCTCCAGTCGCCCTGAACGAACATCGCCCAGAGAAGCAAATCCACAATGGACCCGGGTTCGGTTATTGAGATCCTGTAAGACCATCTCGCCTACCTCTAAATAAAACGGGTCTTTGGTTGCCCTGTAGAGATGATAGGTCGATTCAACGAATTCAGGGCGTAAAGGGTAGTAAGGCAAATCGACTGTCTTTTGAAAGAAGTCAAAGCGTTCAGGAAGTGCATGGTATCTTCGCCAGATATTGAAATAGACCAAATGACTCTTGATGGCAGCATCTATGTCGCCATACAACACTTGAAGACCAGGAAAAAAGGCACTGAGACTATCGACCCAAGAAGACATCAAAGACCCCGTACTCATATGGACATTGCGGTACAGGTAACCCGAGGGATCTCTGACAAACAACATCAGGGCACGATAGGCTTGGTCAAACATGTCCTTGTATTCTTGGTCGCCAAACAAGATGTAGGACTTCAGCATATATTCAAATACAGAATCAATGCCTGCACCTGTGGAGGATGCTGTATGGATCCAAGTGCCTGTCTGGATGTCAATCACATTGCCCATCAGGTTGATGTCAGACCGGCGATCCCAGACAGATTGAAGCGCACGTTTTGCTGCTGCTTCATAAGAGGGGTCGCCTGTCAGTCGACTCAGTACACCAAATTCAAGTAACAGACTACCAGCGCCTGCTGTGCATGTCTCGGTTGTTTCTGTAGGTGATACGCCGTGTAGGAGATGGACGCGAGGGTAAGGAATACCTGTTTTGGTGGATTGGAAGGCTGGCATGAGTCGATCTGCTAAATCTTTGGCCATATCAAGTAATTCATTTTGATAGCCAGGGATGGTATGATGAAATGTAGGATCTGTTGCTAATAAATGAGCAGAGAGCTATTCCACATACACACACACACACCTCATAAAATTAGAACATGATTCATGTAGCCTATGTCACTTACGAGTCCACCCAATGCTCGAATATTCAGTTCAAAGACTTGTACTTTATTATCTTGGCTAAAAGAAACCGTCTGAATCACACGTTGCACTGCTTCTTCAAACTGTTCTTGTGTGCCCATGATCTAGATGCTAATTTAGACTGGAATTTTTTTTTTTTTTTTTTCATTTAATGATCTTACGGCAAGTGTGTCTAGTGTATCGACTAATGTAAGCGAATAATCTCCCAACACATCATTGACATGAATATTGTCCCTAAATAGAAATAAGCAACATCAATAGATGACATCACATACGGATCTGCTTTGTCACTTCCTCTGCCATTGCATTCAAAAGGATTCAACTATTTCAGAATAGAATAGATACATAAGTTTAATTCTCTCTATTTGACATGTATACTTCATCTTCAGGATAAGCATGTTGGATATAATTATTCCAACCATGTCCAAACATTTCCTATTGACTGTTTAGACACAATGTTGTTTATTTATTTGTGCTTACTTGAGTGAGATCTCTAATAAGATAATAAGTACAAGATGAAGAGAGAGCAACTTACTTTAGTTCAAGACGTTTTTTTTCTGTCATTGCAGCCACATTGCTTAAAATACCAAGAGCAAACACCAAAAGTATGCTCAACTCCATTCTCCAATAAAATGTGATTGAGCATACCATAAAGAAAAGAAGAAGAAGAAAAAAAGAAAAAATATTTATAATGTACAATTTTCATGCTCAGATTTTTATTTTATTTGTTTTACAGAACTTGTACAATGACCAACATCATGAAACATACACCACTCCACATAATGGCTGTCTTTCCGGCTCCACTGGTAGTATTAGATTGAGTAGGTTGAGCAGGAGCAGTACTAGAGGCAACAGTACTAGAGGCAACAGTACTAGAGGCAACAGCACTAGAGGCAACAGCACTGGTAACAACAGAAGCAACAGAACTGGTAGGAAGAGCGGTGCTTGTCAAGGCAGAAACGACCCAAGAAGTACTAGTAGCATTGGAACTGGAATCACAAATAGCCTTTTGGTTACCAGGGCAACAAACATCATCAATGATCTTGCAATCATCTTTACAGTTTTCTGGGCAAACAAGGTCACGTGCTACTAAAGCAGTGACAGATGGGCAGACTGTCATGGCACAAACAACAGGTGTTGGATGCGAAAGAGAAGCTGTAGCTGTAATGTTAAATGAAATAGCTTGAGCTGTAAACAGTAAAGATAAAATAAAAGCAATTGTCTTCATGATAAAGAAAAGAAAAGAAAAGAAATAAAAAAAAAGCTTAAAATTTATAGCTTTATAGGTTACACGATGATACAGTAAAGAAATAAAAATGCTAGAGCCAATTGGAAATGAATATTTTCTTTCTTTCTGTTGTGAACACAGCATGATGTTGTTGTTATTATTCTTTTGATTCTGTAAGATACATAATCAAATCTTATCCTTTTTTTGCATGTATTACAAGCAGAAATGCTGTGTAACATATACTGCACTTCCAAGTCAAGCAACAATTTCTAAATATGTGTGCATAGCAATCTCTTTAAACAATTAGTCCTGTGTGAGCTCGATCGGTTTAAATTTGCCTTTTCAGGCATTAATCTTTTTTATTATGGTATAAATTGGCGCTTGTATTAGCAAGCACAGGAACTTGTTTCTTCTTTTCTTGCTGAAGTGTCCATCAAGTCAACCTTAGTCACTAATAAACAAAGTTAAATAGATAATACAAACATACACAACATACATTGTTCCTTTGCTCCATCTTCTGAAGGATGATCGACACCAGGTAAGGCATGGCCAATTTTTCTAAATAGAGCCTTTACGTTATATCCTGCCTTGGCACTTGTCTCTATAAACATAATATTGTATTCTTTTGCTTTCTCTTCTCCTTCATCTACTGTGACCTGTCTAAACAAGAATCAGTGGATGATTGCATGTCTCTCTTGTTTACCTTTTATCGTTCAGGTCCGTTTTATTTCCTACTAACACAATAATCACTTCTGTTCCTCTTTCAGCGCGTACATCATCAATCCATTTACGCGTATTTAAAAAAGAATTTCGACCTATCCTTGACGGCTCAAATGTCGGTTGTTTATGCAAAACGTGACTTACTGGTAATATCATACACAACCACACAAACAGAAGAATCGCGTATATAACTAGGAATCAAAGACCGAAAACGTTCCTGGCCTGCCGTATCCCATAACTGAAGACGAATGGTTCTATCATCCAGGTACATGGTTTTGGATAAGAAATCAATGCCGATGGTAGCCTATGGTTGCTATAGAAACAATGGGGTTTGCATCATGGTCGTACCTGATATGTATTGTCAAATGTGTCGTACATAAACCGAGTAATAAGTGAAGTCTTTCCAACTACATGGCGATGAGTCAAGTTTGTTCATCACACACTTTTTGACATACCACTTTGTTCACCAAGAAATACGAGTTTAAACTTTTTTAAAGGATTACCAAAATCATTATTATTTGAAATAACAGACATGGTTGTAGAAATAGTAAAAAGAAAAAGTGAAAGAAAAGGAGACATTCTTTTTTTTTTTTTTAAATTGGTATGTGTAACCATTCCCCTCCCTCTTTTTTTTTTCAACATAGACATAAACTCCTGAAAAGAAATTAAAATTTTATTTTTCTCTATGAATTTAAGCTTCCCAAGAAGATTGAGCGGGAGCAGCAGATTCGTCAGCCCAGTCAGTGGTTTGGTTAGCAGACCAGTCAGCAGCGGCAGCAATACCAGCAACACCTTCAGCAGCATCACCTTCAACAGCCCATTCGCTGGCAACAGCTTCAGTGTTGAATTCACCTTCTTCAATGTCAGCTTCAGCGTTTTCCTTTTCGATTTCCTCAGGATCACGGTAGAAGAACATGTCGACCATGACGTCCCAAGGAGTAGCGTAGTCAAGAGTACCACGGAGACGGAGGACAGCACGGGCCAAGAGCCAGTAGATCAAACCAATAGCGTGCTTACCCTTGTTGTTGGTGGGGATAGCAAGATCGATGTACTTCAAGGCAGCATCAGTGTCAGCAAGAGAAATGACAGGGATGTTGACATAAGAAGCTTCAAGGACAGCTTGGAAGTCAGAGCGAGGGTCGGTACAGATCACCAAACGGGGTTCACGGAAAGAACGGGTGATGTAGTTAGTGAAAGTACCAGGAGTGTAACGACCAACAATGGCTTCACAACCAATGTATCTGGCGAACTTCAAGGCAGCACGGTGACCGTAAGGACGGGCAGAGACAACAACAATGTCTTGAGGCTACACACTATATCAGCATTCCATCAACCGATCTCTCTCTTTCTATGACTTACGTTCTCAATAGCAGCAATGACACGAGCAGCCAAAATGAGCTTTTCCCAAGTCTTACCGATGTTGATCAAGTGAATACCTATTCATGGTAGTTGCTTAGCATTCTAACACAATTCTGGTCTATCATTACCATCAGCACGACGCTTGTGGACGTAAGGGGTCATACGGGTGTTGACGTTCTTGGTACCAATGTGACATTGGGCACTCAACAAGAGCTTGATATCCTCTTCAGTAGGGTTGAGAACAGCAGGAACACGAGACATATCTACATGGATGATGAGTTGCCATGAACAATGGATGGATGCTTGTGTAGTGATACATTACTTGTGTGCAAGGAAAGAGAAGGTTTCTTCATCCAACTACTTTGACAGTTTTAACACTCTGTTTAATATTGATCCGGTCCGCACACACACACGCATATATATATTCAGGGTTTGTTTGTGACTTTGAGTCACGCAAATTATGTAATATTTTGGATATTAAAAAAAAACAATGACATTTATTCAAATTAGAATCTAAGCTTGCTAAAGAACCACTTGTTCTTGCCAGTTTGGTAACGTTCTTCAAAGAGCTTCTTAATGACCTTCTTGGATTCTTCACGTTGAGAAGGTTCCTTGAAAGTATCAGCGGAGATAGTACCCTTGATTTGTTCCAATTCCAAACCATAGCTATCCACTATTATTAGAGGACATCATTGTGTGCACTTATGCTTACCGAGTAGGCATCATGTGGTTGTAGTTGACAATCTTGACGAAAGGCTTAACCTTGGAACGCTTGGCAACCTTCTTCTTACCCATGGCCTTAGTGACCTTGAGAGGAGTACGTTCAACACCAGCAACAACGGCGTAACCATAAGGTCTATCCTTAGTACCTTCGTCGTGGTCTAACAATGCATCATTAGATTGTGTTTATTTGTTGCCGAGAATCGAGAAGGCTTTTTATATATGCTGATAATATATATATATATATATATCCCCCTTTTTTTCTCTCTCTCTCGGGTTGATTCTTATATTTTTTTTGTGCATAAATGCTGTTTTCTCTCTGCTTTTTCTGTTTCTTTCTCGATTCTCGGTGGTTTTTTTTTGTGATACATACTGCGAACAACAACAGCCTTTTTACCGGCATAACGACCTTGTAAAATAACGACAACCTAAATGATCATCAGTGCTTCTGATCTTCAAAACAACATCCATCCATCCCGTTTTTTTGTTGAATCCATCTATAGATGATACGTACTTTACCAGCCTTGATGAACTTGACCATGGTTGAAGATCTGTCAAAGAGAAGAGGAGGAATTCATTGCTTTCTGCTTTACTGATTGGATTTTCTTGCAATCGCATCTTTAACACCGGACCCCAAGTTACCCTAAATGGGTAAAAAAAAAAATGAGATTTAAAGTTCAGATGTTAAACCCTTTTTTTTTTTCTTTTTTTTTTTTTTTTTGTTATGGAAAGAAAACCTTGTGATGATTGTACGAATTTCTCTTTAAAGCGTATTTTTGAAGATGAAGACAAGCCTATAAGTTTATCAAAAAAGAGATCTATTTCACTTTCAAAAACACGCAGTCATACATCATCTCCTATCGATATAAAAACAGACCAAACACTACAAAAAGATGTGTCAACACAAGAAACAAAGCTGGAATGCACTCCAACACAAGAAATCAAGCTAGAATCCACTGACATTCAATTGACATTAGAACAAAAAGAATTTGAACAAGAATACCATTGTCCCATTTGCACACACGATCTGACATGTCTGAAATCAAGTTATCTTCGTCAGAAACATATCGATCAATGTATTTCGCAGACAGAGACAAAAGAACATCTTGAATTTGATGACTGCGCATTTTGTGGCAAGAATCTAAGGCACTTTACACTAGCAAGACGAGAATTACATATCAATCATTGTCTAGATAAAGCCATGCCTCAAACCAAGGATGGTACTTTTGCAGGACAGCCTGTGCCTTTCTTGAGTACATTAGAGATATGCCCTGTATGTCATGATACAATGCCCTTTAAGGATCATACCCTAAAGCAGAAACTAAGGCATACGAAACAATGTGTTAAACACCACCAGTTATCATTGCATGATTTACTGCAGAAACTCAAGTGGATTGGCTGGGGTCATATACCTATTAAAAATCATACCTCTTCTGCTCATCAACCGCCATCACCACCTTCCATACCCACTTTACCTCAGCATCAAACAGTCGCTTATATACACGATAATACAGAAGACGATTTTAGTCAACAAGTCATTATTTCAAAAACGAATCTTGCATTTAAAAACACAAAACAAGAAGACAAACACGACGAAGAACTTCAAACAGCACTGGCCATCTCTCGATCTTTAAAACAACAGAAACGCTTTCGTGTTGTCGACAAAAACGCAGCCAATATTTGGTCTATGGAAGAATCGAGGTCTAATGCGATTCAGAAATTACAAGCACTGCTTTTCCCTTCAGAACAAGAAACCCTTCTTCATTATATTCAAGCACAACGCGAACAATCCATTGAGAAACTAGCTCCTACGCGACTTGGTTGCTGTCAAGATAGATTTTATTGGCATTTAGCCAGTTTATCAACAGCTCAAACTCGGTCATTTGCACTGTTCATGCAACACTTGGATAATAAAAAGTCATGACTTTTTTTTTCTTTTTTCTTTTTTTCTTCTTTTTTCTATAGGATGAGCAACAGAGTAAAGCATGAGTAGTACCTTATACAAATGACTTAATTACTTTAGGGGAATAGATCCAAAGCGGACGAAGACACGAACTGGCGAAAAAGAAAACCACTCACTGATCAACCCACACATCGGTGGCAACCAAAAGACAGCATCTCATGGCATCCTAACTGGGACAAAGAAACGCAACGAAAACCAAGACGACCTTTCGTGAATATGGACACGGTTACACATTCGAGTAAAAGAGAATCTCAAGCCACGCCCATCGTGTGTGCTTGGACTCAGTTTGCGCAAGAAGCGAGCTCATCAGTACCTGAGAAGGCGACGGAAGAACCAGCGAATGCTTGGTTAGCTTATTCTCAAAGTAACTTTTCGCCTGTCAGTAGGAACCATGAGACATCTCAGCCGTCAGAATCGAACCATCGCAAACACAATGCTCATCGCAAAGCCGTATTTGCGCCTTATCTTTCATTCGAAGAACTCCATCGTCGGATGGATCGAAAAGACGTGTTTGAGGGCATATTAAGACTTTCTCGTAACAAAGACGATGCTTATGTAACCAGTGAAGAATTAGGAGCAGATATTTATATTGGTGGAAAATTTGATCGAAACAGAGCCATGGATGGCGATTTAGTAGCTGTTGAATTACTCGATGTGGAGCAAGTATGGCAGAAACGAAAAGAAAGAGAATTAGGAAAATCAAAAACAAAGGAAGTTGTAAAAGAGGAAGAAGAAGAAGAAGTGAACAATGATAAAGAAGAGGAGGAAGAAGATTTAGAAGACAAAGAACAAAAGCCCAAGTATTGTGGTAAAGTAGTAGGCCTGTTGGAAAAATCGCCTAATATGGCGTATTGTGGGTAATGTATACACAGAAAAAAGTAAATATGTATATTGATAAAAGAGTATATAGAACCATTGTCAAGACTCGTTTTCTGGATGACAATAACAATGAAGGAGAAAGTTCAGCAAGCCAAGGTCCACTTAAGATGGCTTGGTTTAAACCACTTGATAAAAGGTTACCTTTCTTCTTATTAAGAAGTCAGGACATCCCCAGTGATTTTCTTGAAAATGAAGAATATTACAAGACACGCTTATTTTCGGTAAAAGAGCTCAAAACACAACACAACAAACCCTTATATATACATAGGCCAAGATCCGTAGTTGGAAGCCATTCAATAATAACCCTATAGGTGCCATTCTTGAAGAATTAGGCAATACCACTGATTTTAAGACACAAAAGAGTGCTATTTTAGCAGACAATTCAATTGACATGAGTGAATTTAGTGAAGTTGCCTTACAATGCTTACCTGAAACCCCTTGGGAAATTCCTGCTTCCGAATACAAGAAAAGGCGCAACTTGTGTGATGCACGCATTTTTAGCATTGATCCTAAGACTGCTAAAGATTTGGATGATGCAGTTCATATTACAGAGTTACCAGATGGGTTTTTTGAAGTCGGTGTTCATATTGCAGACGTAACACACTTTGTCAAGATGGGCACAGCTTTAGATACAGAAGCAAGAGCAAGAGGTACCAGTACTTATTTTGTAGACGGTGTGATTCCTATGCTTCCTCCTTTGTTGTGCGAAGAATTATGTAGTCTAAACCCAGCTGTAGACAGGTACTAAAGCATCATTGTGTACAATGCACTCATTTTTTTTTTTTTTTTTTTTTTTTTTGTATAGATTGGCTTTTAGTGTCATTTGGAAAATGGACACATTTGGTAGGCCAGTTGATACCTGGTTTGGCAAGACAGTCATAAGGTAAATGTATGCCTTTTCTTGTTCTCATAATGCTCATATACCTAAGCATAGGTCTTGTGCCAAATTAGCTTACGAAGATGCTCAAAAAGTGATTGATGGAGGTGAACTATCGTCTGACGTGCAAATTCACGATAGACATGATCCGGCACTTGTCTCCCATGATATTCGATTACTTCAGCGTATGTCTGTCCATATGCGTAAAAGAAGATATGAAAATGGTTCTTTGTCTCTTCATTCTGTCAAATTACAGTTTGTGCTGGACGACAATGGCTCGCCTGTCGACGTATTTGCATTTGAAGCAAAAGAAGCTAACCAATTGATTGAAGAATTCATGTTGTTTGCTAATATCAGTGTAGCAAATAAAATCCTTCAATCGTTTCCTGAAGAAGCATTGCTTCGTCGACATCAAGATCCTTTAGAAAAAAGATTGGTAAAACAATGACAAAGCAAATACTATGGCTCTTACATTTTTTTTGTAGCATCAATTCATCAAACTGACTGATGTGTTAGGACTTGATTTTGATGGCAGCAGTGCTGGTTCGCTTCAAGAATCGTTTAACAAAGTCAACAATAAAAACGTCAAGGATGTCTTATTGATATTGGCTATTCGAACCATGCAACGAGCTAAATACTTTTGTAGTGGCAAAGTAAGTATTGACAAATACCGACATTATGCTTTGAATGAGTCTGTCTACACCCATTTCACATCACCCATTCGTCGATATGCAGATATTGTGGTGCATCGACTATTGTCTGCTGCCATTACTGCTCAAGATGAGACACAAGGTAGGATGGAGATATGCGCTCGGTATCTAATCTATCCTAGTAACATGTCCTTATGACCGTAAAATGGTACAAAAAATAGCCTTCTCTTGCAATGCTAAGAAAGATGGAGCCAAGAATGCTCAAGACAATGACAGCATGGTTTATCTTAGCAGATATCTCTGGCAAAGGGAACAATTGGATGGTCCCATTTATAAGAAAGCAGATGTGATTGTTGTCTCAAAAGATACATTTGAAGTCTATATTCCTGAATATGGCCTCGAAAAGCGTATTTATCTTAAAGATTTGCCAGTAGAAAAGTTTTATTTTGACAGACATACATTGGCACTGGATATCTATTGGAAGCGTGGTATTCCTGTCACGATGCGTAATGAAGAAAAGATTTATGCTCAAGAAAGAGTCCGTCCAGATGACTATAGTGATTCTGATGATGATGAAGAAGAGATTGTAGATAGCTTGACAGGATTAACGATGCAAGACACACCTACTTATGATCCTGACCATGTTGTAAATGCCAATGACTTAATACCAGCTGTTGTATTGGATGAAGAAACATGCCTGCAACGACTTCAAATGTTTTCTACTATTGATGTGCGTTTACAAGTCAATATGGAAAGAATTCCGCCTATCATTAATATTTATCCAGTGAATCCATTTTCAGGGGAAGAAGAAAAACAACTCTAATAATTTAAAGTATTGATTTTAAATAAATAAACCTTATTTGCTGAGTGTTTGAATTTGCCAAGACACACAGCGTACCATTGTTCATTTGACAGCTGAGCAATATTCCGCTAATCTGATCATTGTCTTATTTTTAATCAATAATAGAAAATAAAAACTTTTTTTTGTTACTTTTTTTTTTTTTTTTTTTCTCCTCCTAGTCTTATTCATTATTATGGTATAATGCATTCAGAGACTAATCTTATAGTTTAACTAACAAACACAGGGCTGCTGCTCAAGCGATAAGCCTAAATGGAAGCGAGAAATAGTTCATGATCATCGATTTCAAAATGTCAATTTAAATGCATTTTATATGCCCAATTGCACTTCACGCCTCGGTTATTGTTTTGTCTTTTTAGCCTCTCTAAAATCGTTTGCTGTCTATGTGGCAGATTTGTGGACTGCAGGTGAGAAGCTTGAAGGAAAAAAAAATTTTTTTTTCTAGTATTCATGATAACGCATAGTTTCATTGTTGGTGATTGGACAGACAACCGCAACTCCCGCCATTCCTACTGAGATTTCAAAATGGATTTTCTTTGCCTGTATTATTGTCTCCTTCTTGTTGCTTTTATGGGACATGTATAAGGCAAATAGAATACTGGCTACAGACAACATTGCATTGGCTTTCACATCTGTCATTACAAACCGATATTTATCCATGAAAGACTATCGCTATTACTGCTTATTTCAATCCATCAATCATGCCAACAGCAAAGGTATTGAACGATACGCTTTTTTCATTTTCTTTCAACTGAAAGGTTGGAAGCGTCTTTTATTGGCAGAAGCACCTCGCCAAGTCATTAACGTAGTAACATTGGAAGCATTAATACCTGAATGGCTCAAGATTCGTAATGGTCAAGTCAGTTTCGATAATGGTGTTTTAGGAGAAACAGTTATTCAACAGATCTTGACTATCACCATGGCTTTTTCTGTGGTCGTGTTTGCTATTTCGTTTGTATTGGTCTGTGCGGCAGCTGTATTGTATATTCCTCTGTTGTGTCACATTCGCGGTAATTTGAAAGAATATTGCTGTCATAAAGTGGATAAGCGTATTGCAACACTTTTGAACCAAGGACCACAGTATCGAATGGCAAAAAGAGGCAACAAGAAGTACGCCCGTGTTCCTGAAAATGAATCTTATATTGAAGAAAATTACTTCCAGCGCCCACTTGCTGTTAATAACATATCTAGTCCTGCTATATCCTCTTTTGAAAAGTCTTCCTATGCCTCAAGAACTACAGATACTAGCCAAGATCACTTGTTGAATAACACCATTGATCTTGAATATCGCCCTAGACCTGTTGCAAATCACTTTCCTTATGGCCATCGTCCAGTCCAATCTTACACACCTAAACTAAGTCATACCATTGGCTCGCCTACCATGACATCTCCAGAACTACCACAGGCTACACCTTCTTTTACGTGTATAAATGAACAATACTATCAAAACAAAAACTATCCTTATGGCTATTAGTTTTTGGGTATGTATCTATGTAAATAACCCTAAAAATGTAAACAAATGATCCTTTTTATGCAACATTTTTATTTATTGATATTCTAAGCCATTTTCGATTTTTAATTTTTTTTTTTTTTTTACCAGAATGCACACCTAAATGAGATGATGAGTTAAGGTATATCTTTTTTTATGATATCTTACCATCCGACGTAACATTGACACAAGTTCTCTAAAGAAGTAGCTTGTTGAATCAACTTTTCAACTTGTGTAGGTACATCCAAAGTCACTCGAGGATTGAAATCACGACCTGTTAATTTGTTTGACACTCTGTTGACAACAGCAACCGCACGTGAATTCAATAATTCAGGGCCTTGAGGGTTTTCTAAACAACAATCAATAATGGATTTATCAAAATTGTGTTTGGCTTACCATTAGCCACAGCTTCCACTTCAATTCTGTTTAATCTTCGACTGACAGAGAAGTTACGATGACCATCATCTGGACCATCTTCATGCACTATATTTTCAATGCCTCGCATACGTTCATCTATTTTATATATGTCATAGCTTAGTATACGCATTCATCTATTTAACCAACTTACTCTGAACAGGACTTTGAGGTTGATGAGTATTCAACAATCTCCAGTTGATTAAAGGATCATAGACAAAGGCCTCAAGAACAGCCATCAAACTCTCCTTGTTGTCACGCAAGACGCGCATCACATGCTCACAGGTGGTACGGAAATTGCCTTCAATACCACTGACTTCCATTGCCTTTACCAACATTCGAGTGAGACGGAAAGGAATCTTTTCAGGGAATTTCTCACGATGCATAGCAACCTAACGGACATGAGTTGATGTTGATCGTTTTAGATTATATGTTTACCTCGAAACAATCACCGAAATCAATATGAACCACTTTACCAGTGACACGATGAAGCATAAGGTTGGAAGGATGACGGTCACCTAAACCAAGAATGTAGCCTACCATAGACATGACAGCCAGAGAACGGGTATAATTGGTACGTCTATCAAGCCATGCTTCAGAGTTACGACTCTTGAGCCAAAGGACATTGTAAAGGTCTTGGCCATAGGTCTTCTCAAATGCATATTGTAACACTTCTACTTTCTGGATTACTGTCAAGTTGTCATAATCAGGTGCCATCTATCGAAATGTTAGTTTACTAAAGAAAAAAAGAGGGGTATGTCGCCCACTTGCCTGTAACATAAGACGATGTTCGAGGTTCAAGAGAATCTTTCGACTATCTCTGTAGTCACGAATCAAAGTATGCAAAGTATCTGTCTCGGTTACCCAACCAATCAGGCCAGAATTAGGTGACAAAGGAACAGCAGGATAACGTTGAATATTAAGGTGACGTTTGAAGGTTTCTGCATCATTCGTCAACAGGGTATTGACAAGACCAAAGAGTTGCATAACACGTTCATCCTGACGAAGATCCTCATGACCCTTCAACAGGTACATGTAGTCTTTACCGTCACTACCGATGATGGTCAACTTTCTTGGACGTTGTTTGGATGCAATCACACTCAAACTAGGATTGAATCGAGCAATACGCACAATAGGCTCACCACTACGGTAATAACCAGGAACACATAATTCCAAGTTGCGAGCTTCCAACAATTGAGGCGAAATGTATTGTAATTCAAGACTCGTCAGTTGAGGCAATTGTCTCACAATGCGTCTAAACACTTGGTAGTAAAGTTCCCAAGCTTGATTCAAGTTGTTCAGGTCGCGTGTCTCTTGATAACGGTGGCACCATTCTTGAGCCTCTTGTAAATCGCGGCCAAAGGCTTGAACAAACGATTCTTCACGCATTGTTTCTGGCCCACGGTCCAACATTTGATGTAAAGGCTCCAAGGTAGCAAACATAGCATCCACATTGCGGTCACCAAAGTAAAGACGAGAAGCTTCTTCAAGCCCTTCATGCCACATTTCATGCCAGAGAATGGCGACACGAATAAGTTCTTGCGAGACCATTAAGGCTTGTTCAACAAGAACAGCACTGTGCATACGCATACGATCCATAATAACAAACGTGGCTCTTCTTCTAGGCAAACTTTGAGACTTACTAGCCACAGTCAAGGAATACACAAGAGCTTGAGGATGTTCACGACCAATATCTGTCAATAACTGTTGAATCAATAAGCGAACAGTGCTGTTAGGAGCATGAATACGAGCAATCAGTTGAGGAATCACTTGTAGCCATACATCGATACTGATGGTGCTAAAGCCTTCACCAATAGCAGCACTCACTTCAGATTGATAACCATATTTAAACCATAAGGTAAGCAAACGAAGTGTATCTTGAAGTGAGTTTTCTTTAGACAGAGCAATCGATCTAAAGAAACCTTGGACAGCAGGCACAATATGATGGCTAAAGATTTGAGGAGGTAATTTATCGGGATGAAGTCGTTCATGGTAATCAATGATATCGAAGTTAGCCAATGCCCAAGAGTGCCATGCCTTGTACCAGTTTTGATCAAATCGAGTAGCAAGTAAAAAGGAGCACAAGATCTCGGGAATGGTTTCTTCCGTTAATTCATAAGAGAGAGCTCGTTGCCACTCACCCTGGCGAAGATAACATCGACTGAGCAGGCGAGTGTATTCAGCTACATCTTCTGTGATTCGACTAAGATCAATAGGCATACTCACGGCCATTTCATCAGGGTTCAATCCAAGATCCTGTGTCTTTTGTGCTGTGAATTCACGTAAGATGCTGAGTGCTCGAGATCGAATGGCAGGTGCTTTATCGGTAGGAGCAATAGAGGCAGAGTCCCACATGTGTTTGAGCTGAGCATAAACAATCTTTGGATGAGGTGTGCCTGAGCCATCACCACCGTCTGCTTCCATTAAACTGCGCAATGTGTTTTCAGATAAAGAAAATCGGCCACTCTTTCGACACAAATTAGCGAATTTGATCCACATTTCCATATCTTCTTGAGGAGAAACAACCATGGTACGCACACGCAGAATACGCTGCCATACTTCTACGTTACGCTCACATCCTTCTAAACGTTTCACCCAAGTACGACGAATAGCATTTTGACGCTCAACATCATTAGCAGACTGCTTGTAAATGATCATCTCTTCCAGTTCTGCCAACATCTGTACACGGACTACTGTAGCATAAGCACGATTATAACTTTCGCCCAAAAGAGCCGTCAATTCAGTATCCAATAGATCACGAGTCTTGTTGATAAACTTTTCAGCTTCTGCATATTGATTGTGATGCATACCAAGAATAGCACGGAAAAAAGTACGATCGGGACTTTCAGGTTTGAGTAAAGCAATGTATTCTTCCATTTGTTCCCATTGACCTAAACCCCAAGCAGCAGCAGCGGCAAAAGGAGCCACACTCTTACGGCTCTCAATAGGAGCATGAATCCACTTTTCTTGCGCCAGCGCAGATAACTGGTCCCATTCACCCAAGGCATGTAAACAGCGCATACGGCCCAAAGTGATTTCCATAGAGTCAGGATTTTCCAACTGTTGTGCTTCATAGGCTTCCAAGGCGTCTTGGTATCTATGCAATTTCTCAAACCACGACACTTTCCGTTCAAGACCTAAAGAATCTTGTGCAAATGTCAAAATACCCATGGCTGCATCAGGTTGTTGTAAAAGGTTGTTGATAGACATCAACATTTCAACAGCTTCGAAACTTTGTTTGATATGAAACTCTGCTTCCTTGTAGTGAAGTGCTTTAGCATAAGCATGGCACTTTTGAGCATAAACAGCCAAGGTACGGATATCAATAGGCAAAATCTTATTGTCGTGCTCCATGAATTCAGCAAGATGCAACAAGATCTGAATGATTTCTGGAGGAATATTAGGTGCTTTTAACGCTACTTCGAGAGATTTGACAAGCTCATCTACATATTGGTCGTACAGCTCATTCCAGCAAGAAACAAAGGCTGCATTGAAAAGTTCTCGAGCAAGAGGAGTATATACAGATGCCAAGAAGACGCAAGCACGAAGAGCATGAGAAGGCGATTGTTTCAAAAGTTCAACACTGAATCGACGAATCCATTCCATCCAATCTTCTTTGGTTGATCTTTGTGATGCTTCCCAAGCCTTCTTCAAGTGTTGTTGATTGACTGGTTGTTTCTTGGCTGCACTTTGGTCAACAGAAGGTGTTTCGTCGCCCTTGGCGTCACTACCACGGTATTTAATACATATTTATAGATCATGTAAGTAATTTACCTGTCATCAAATGCTTTTCCTAGTTCTTGAGGAAGATTTTCACCTTTCAATAATTTACCTACAAGCAGTTCATAATTGGTATGTGAGATACGGTGTCTTGTGAGCACTTTATTGATCACTGGAATAAACTTGGTATAATCCGTCCCAAGTTGGAATATAAGAGCACACAACAGGTCCATTGCAGCACTACGTGCCTCAATGGGCAATACAGGCAGGACACGAGCCAGAGGATGAATGATGCGCGAGGCATAATCAAACATGTTGACTTTCTTACAGAAGGCAGTAATAGTTGAGATGGCTTGACGGCGAACAGACACAGGTGCATCCGGCTTTTCGAAAAACTTGACTACGGCAGGAATTACTAAGTGCATGTATTCCTCAATATTAGCACCAAACACAACAAAGGCATGCAGTACTTTGATCGTGGGTTGTCTTCTTTCGGACAAGTCGCTGTCAAAAATTTGAAGCATATGAGGCAAAAGACGAGGCAAATACACTTTAAGCTCACCATCAAGTGCCTTGGCAATCGCTTCAATTAAAGAGATAATGGTGATTTGGATAGAAGAGACAGGCGTCCAGTAGTCATCAATAAGATCAAAGATATCCTTGAGATAGTTTCGGATGTGTTGTTTGACAATAGAGACTAAATCACCCAGTTTGTGAAAATAGAGTTCTAGCATACCAGAAGTAGAGGATCGCATGAGCTGTAAAAAGCCAGGAATGACGAGAGGCAAGAACTGCACAACCTTGAGACCCAATGTTTTGAAGATGAACATGATAGCATCGATCACTGCATAATGATGTGTGCTGAGGGAAGGATCTCTTAGGATCTTCATAAGTGAATGCATCACAACTTGAGGATAATAATCTTCAGACGATGGACCGATGCCCATCATAAGCAAAGTAACATCGTTGCTTGCAAGTTTAGGATCTGCCAATTCTTCGCTGGAGTTGCCAATAGCATTCATCTTGTGTTTGTAAGGATCTAAAGCACCGAGAATACCAATCAACTTAACGGTTTCTCTTCGAATGGTTGGGTTTTGTTCAGTCTTCATAATGTTGATCAAAATATTAAGCAAAGCTGGATACTTTGTATAGGGCTCAATCACAAAACCAGTATTGCTAGCCAATTGGCCTAATGTCTTAAGAGCAGCATCACGCTTAGCGCTTGAACTTTGATCTTGTAATGTTTCCATGATCAAAGGCATGAGCTCGTCCAAATGAGGAGCCATATCTTCACCACTGACAGCAGCCAATTCACCTAAAGCACCCAATACGGCCGAAACGACACCTGTAGATGAATCGCGGGCTTTAGGAAGCAATACTTTTAGAATAGGTTCAATATAAGGCTTTGTAAGTCGTTGAGCAGCTCGGACAAGTAACGAAACTAATCTAGCTGATTCTTCCTTTTGTCGACTGATGACTGAATACTCTAGTTCTGTCAAGAGTTGGATCAATGTCTTTCGAAGAGAGGGCATAACATAAGCTGGATTAAATGTAGTCAAACGACCAATGATAGTGATGGCGATTTCTCGAATGGCAAATACTTCGTCATTCAGTGCAATAAACAAGGATCTTACATTATCTGCCTGTGCTAGATGACGATCGAATCGAACATCCAAAGACGACAATACAGTTTCACGAATGACTGGATCTGGATCTGCAATACCAACTGTCAAAAGCTTCTCCAATACTTCACCTACAACCTTGATTGCATGTGCACTTGTTTGGTTGCAAATAGGATCACGAACAAACAGCTGACAGCATGTTACAGCTGCTGCTTTTCTAATTTCTGGAAGGTCGTCATCGAGATAGTTTACAATACAGTCGCGCACGAATTCGTTCAAAACATGATTCGAAAAATCGAATGATCCAAGCGTAGTGAGTGCTAATACAATAGTGTCGTTATCCTTTCCGTCTACAACTCCATTTTCGCGAAGAGATCGTTCTACTGTTTGTATCAAATTGCGATTTGTAGGCGCACCTGGCTGTTTGTATGATTGTCCACTTAAGGTGATAGATATCACATTCAACAAGCGTTCTACCATAAGCATTAATATGTCATGAATTTCAAGTTCACTTTACCTTGAATAACAGGTGACAAAGGCTTGATACGGTCTGTAATATTACTCAAGGCTGTAACAAGAGGTTCAGATAGTCCACAATTAAACATCAAATCCAATAAATCATGCAAGTGTTTTGTCAATGATTGTCCAACAGCTGTAGCCAACATACTGATACAAGTGAATGTAGCTGTCTCGACTTCCTTTCGTTGACGACTATACCAACATTAGAATCTATTGTTCTATGGTCCATTGACTTACCCTTTAATAGATAAGGTCTCTTTGATGCAACTCAGAATAGCCTCCAAATAAGGACTCATGTTACTCTTGACTTGAATAGCCACTTGACCGATAGCAATAAAAGCTAGAAATAAAGAATGAATAAACATCAAAATAAAGTATGTATACCATCTCGTTTCTCATTGTTTTTTCGAAGTAAACTCAATAAATGAGGCATGGATTTGCGCAAGTAAAGTTCTGAAAAGGTAGCGGGATCATAAGAAGCCAAAGTGGGAATAATAGACACAACTGTTTTTCGAATCAAGGCATCACGAGAGTCTTTTAAGTGGAGAGTGATGCCACACACTTCTTTGTACATGTCTGTCATAAACTAGTGGTGACGATGAGTTTTCGTCGGAAACAGACATATACTTACCATGCCAGCATGCAACAACAATTCTCTCATGGCTAACAGACTACCGTGTGTTGCTTCAGCGCTATTCATACGCAATCCACGATTCACTTCTTCCCATATACGTGAATACCATGTCTTTCGCATAGGCGTTTCACGCTGTTGAATGATTTCTAAACATTGAGAGAGACAATCTGCAGCATATTCTCGAATGACATTGCGAGGATCACGTAAAGCAACCCAAATTAAATCCAAAATACGAGGAACATATGCATAAATCAAAGTAGGAGCATTGACAGCCAGTTCTCTCAAGACCAAGACAGCAGCAAGACGACTACGATCTGCTTGAAGCCATTCTAATGCATGTTCTACTTGTGTATCGACTAAATCAGCAGTGAGGGTTGTAGAGCTCACGGCTAAACGACCTAATGCTTTTGCTGCTGGAACCATAATTTGTTGGTCATGATGAGGTAACATGTGTTGAAGATAATTGTGGAAACGATTTGCATTACTTTCAGGCTCCAAACCAATTAACCGATCTAATAAATATAAGTATATTATTATTATTATTATTATGTATACTTGCCTATACCAATAATGGCACCGAGCTTTTCGTTATTGTCGTTACCGTGAGTCCATTCGAAAAAACGTTTGTTGATATCATTAGTGAAACGAACAAGATTCTCTTCTGATAGTTCTTTTGATGCTGTCGTTGCCTATTAAAAGAGAAATAAGGATTTTTGTTTCAAAATGTCCTTGTCTTTACTGTTTCGCGAAGTTCTTCTGCAGCTTTAATGCGTCTATCTTCGTGTCTGTCGAATAGGTTAGACGTTATCTTGAAATAATCTTAAGCTTACTTTGATTTTAATTCACTAAAAATTCTGTTCAGGTTTTCCTGAGAGTTAAGCATAGCAACCATCGCCATATCTTTTTGCAAAGTATAAGACTATGTATATATAAAAAGATCTAGAAAGCACCAGATAGTAAAGTAGTTCAAAAAAGTGAATAAAAGATCCTAACTAGTACAAAAATAATATAAGAACCACTAGAGTATAATGTAGGCGGATAATAATATGAAGAAAGCAAAGAGTGAAAGAAAAAAAAGTAGAAAAGCCTTTCTTTGTTTATGAGCGGATATTCAAATTTTAAGTTCGAATCAAATCTCGGTTGATGTTGAGACCATTGGACATTAGAGAAATGTGCTGCTCAGAATGGCCTATCGCATAATGAAATAACACACTGGCAATTGTTATGAACTTGAAAAAGAAAACGGAGATCAAATGTTAAACGGGATGCCATAGTATGAGCGCTGTATTTTTCTTTATTTAAATGAAATAAGATTCTTGCATGATGTTCTGATTTATTTCAGGAACAGAGCTTTTTCTCGAGCACCTTTTGTTTTTTTGAGACCCCTTGATCATTAATGCAGGCAACCTGGAAATGTGGGGCAGGGAACAAAGAATTTTCTCACCATTTTCAAAACATCAACCCCGATGCATTTTACTCTTTTTCTTTTTTTCTTCGATTATGTCAAAAGTAGATAAAAAGAACCCTGCCTTACACTTGACGGGTGGAGCTATTTCAGGCATGACAGCCTGCGTTGCTTTGCAACCATTGGACTTGATAAAAACACGCTTACAACAACAGCGTCAAGATCACCTTGCTTTTCTTAAAGAGGCAAAAAAAAAGGGTCTTAAAGTGTTGCCTCAGACAAGGTTAGTTTGTCTATATACAGAATTACGGAAATAACCTTATCATGTAAATCACAGCAATATATACTCGACAATCAAAGATATTGTTCAAGCAAATGGCTATAGTGGACTATGGAGAGGAACTGTTCCTACTATTATGAGGTAAATATTACTACGCCATATACAGTGTATTCATCGTCAAACAAGAAATGTGCCTGGTTCAGCTTTGTATTTCTTTGCTTTGTCTGAAATTCGAGAAACACTAGCCAAGACAAGAGCTAGCTGGCAACCCATGTTTAATAGATCAATGACAAATACAGCTGACTATCAACGCTGGGAGAATCTAGTGTCAGGTTCGGCAGCAAGAGGAGCAGTAGGTTATATTATGATGCCTATCACAGTTGTCAAAGTAAGATATGAGGTAAATGCAACTCCCCTTATAATAAGTATAAAATTGACTGTAGTTATAGAGCAATTTCTATAACTATTCTAGTTTGAGCGAAGCATTCAAATCTATTATCAAGACAGACGGTCTTCGAGGCAAGTAGATTTGAATGATTCATGTTATTCTTACGAGCATATAGGATTGTTTGCTGGCTATGGTGCTACGTTCATTCGAGATGCACCTTTTGCTGGTATTTATCTTTTTTTCTATGAAAGCTGCAAGACATCAGCAAACGGATACCTTTTGAGTCATAATTTACCAGTGGCCAATGCGGTGATAAATATGGGATCCGGAATGATAGCAGGTATGGCAGCAACTTGTACTACGCAACCATTTGATATGTTGAAAACACGCATGCAATTAAAACCAACGGTCTACAAAAACATGATTCAATCAGCTAAAAAAGTATACTTCGAGGAAGGCATAATGGGATTTTTCGACGGCATTAGTGTGAGACTGATACGCAAACCACTCAATTCTGCCATCTCATGGACTATTTACGAAGAACTCGTGCGTTGGTATCAGCGTAGAGATCAATTGATCAAAGAAAAGCTCTAAGTATCCGCAATCTCCAGTTCTCTCGTTTGTGTATTATATGAACTAGATCAATAGACAAAATTACCTGTAAATTATAGTCTATTTCCTGTTGTTTCGTCTACCCTCTATTCAATTGACATTATTTCTTCAGTCACATATGAAGCAAAGCAATTTCGCCAATCTTGTAAGCACTAAAGAATAGAAAGGGGAAAAAATGAGCTTCTGCTTTGTAGCAGAAAAATAAAAATTGGATAAAAAACAATACTATCAGTTGAAGAATGCTTTCTATATCTTTATTTCAAAAATTGAACCTCATTCTAACAAACAATTTCTTAACAGGTGGTGGTAATACCCTAAACCAATTCTAATTACTTGCGAGATTTGAGTTTTATTAAAACTACAAGAGGAAGAAAATAACAATATATATAGAAAGACAGAAAAATCATAGCGATAAGATTGACATGACAAAAAATAAATTAGGACTTTAACGGGCCGCAAAGAGAAAACTCCGGCAAGAGTCCGCATCAAAGAAGATGTATCACGTGACTTTAAATAAATTATAGATTTATATTATATTTAAAGGTTTGTTGGCTACAACATGGTTTCTTGGTGTAGGCAAAAGATTTTATTCTTTTATTCGTTGACTTATAAGACTAATCTCTATGGGGCAGATGTCTAGTCAAAAGGGCAGTAATAGTAATAAATTACTCTGACTAGAGCAAGGGAGACAAAAAAAAACTACACTATTGTAGGGAAAAAAAGGGAAGAGGCAGAGAGGAAAAAAGGGGCAAATAAATAGAATAAGTTTAGGCTACATGATGTAGCTGTAGATACTGGAGACAATAGGAGGAGCAACCGCCTTAAAGAAGACTGGGAGCAATCATTCCAGGAGAACAAGACCAGAGGTGACTTGGGAGCAAGGACTGAACTCAGCTGTGATGTTTTGATAATAGAGAGTTGTATGATAAGATAATGTAGGCTTCGACGAATACAGGAGATAAGCAATTCAGTCTGCTGAAAACCTCTTTCGAGCTCACATTTGCAAAATTCTTCAAGAGTGTATTAAGATAAATTATTTGATAAACGTTTCGTTTGATTACTTTGCGCTTAATGAATATTTAATCGAAATGAGGTTTGATCATTGTTTATCACTAACTGATTGGGATCTAAAGATTGGTACCTAAGGTAGTCCTTTCGCATTGAAACAGTGTGTCAGCGTGACAAATGGCTGTACAATTAGATAAGGTTTACTTGCAGCAATCAAAGAAGTCATTGAGCAATCGCTGTTGGCTAATAGGTTATTCCACGTTGCATACTAGATAGAAAAGTATGCATTATGTAGTTCTATAGAACTAACAATAACGACATGGTACTTGCGTATTGTAATATCAGTCTACAACATTGGCAGCTCTATTACATAGTGCTACACGTTTCTCATGCCAAACCTCTATGCAGCATGATGCAAAAGAGACAATAGCGAATGATAGGAAAAAAATAAAAAAAGTGAAAACGGTTGATAACACTAGCAATCTCGATCTACTAGTCAAAAGAGTCTTTTATGTTTATTTTTGAACCAATTGAGCTAGCACCAATTTGCAAAATATTTTTTTCCAGCATCAGTCGACACCTAAAAACATGTTTACACCATTAAAACATGAAAATAATTTTTAGTACATTGATACCCTTACGCTTTTACATGAAAAATAAAAAATCGCTTCTAACTGATCCCACAAGCAACTTTTACCATCACAATATATGCCAAAAAAATTGCCTAGTATAAACAGGTACACTTCAAGTGTTAGATCTGAGAAACCTATATGAAAAGTCTACACGACGCGTATAAAATGGTTTAAGCTATTTTACGTGTTAGATGGTTAAAATACTTAATAAGCAGCGCGTTTTTGCTACATTTTTGAGCTTTGCGCATTAAAAAAAAACTACTTTACTTAGAACGCCAAGTCAATCCAGTTCCATCTTGATGAACTTTTAGATCATTCCTTGTTTTTCGATCAAACACTGCCCATGAGATATCCAAAACAACTTCAAAATTTAAAAGTGCTATAAAAGTAGCTTTTAGGTAGCCAATATGCCCTAGATACATGGTCCAGTACTTATATAGCATCGAACCTACGAAAATTCCAAGCTTATCACTTTAAAAGTTTAAAAATATAGTTTTTTTTTTTTTTTTTTTTTTGGGTGTGAAAATGCCTTGTTTTCACAAAGCAGCACTGCTTTTTGCCACAATCGAAAACATATCAGTACTAATGATGCTAATTTTAAAAGACCATTTTGGTTATAAACAGATCTAGGTTTGGGTTAGTATTGACTAAGAGGCAAAAAATTAAAGTTCATTTACCAGCATGAAAGCAGTATATAGACATCATGCAAAAAGTCCTTCATAAAAGAAGGTCTGAAACGTGTAACAATATTCCTGAAAACATGTTGACAAATTATGTTGAACATTCTCCTGATACCTTTTCTAAGTTCATTAGCAAAAAAACTATACAAGCCTCAATTGAAGATTGCATACCATTTGACTATATAAATATGCTGTTTATGTTCTTCAAGTCCACCTTTCGGGGTCATAAGCACCAAGAGGAGAATGATGTTCAATAAGGTTTAAATTCATAGTGCTGACGCTATTTCAATTTAATTCCATCCAGCAGCTTTTTTCTCTTAAAAAGGAAGAAATATGACTGCCTTTGTCAGAAAAATGTTTCCCTGGTTTCTTTTACTTGAAAATCTACTAAATTTGGTAAATTGATTTTTTTTCTCTCTCTTTTCTCTTTTTCTTTTTTATTCAACTTTTACTATTTCAAATGGTACAGTCTATTGAAGTATATCTTCAACCTCCTTCTCCTACCATAAATCCAATATGCACATTGCCTTCTGTTAAATCGTTGTTTTCAGAGACCATGGAAGAAGACGAGAGAAGTATCATATCGGAGCATGATCAGCAGCAGCAACAACAGTTACCAAGTATTCGAGTCACAGAAGATGATACCAGCCACTCTGAATATGGTAGTGATCATCATCATCGTCGCCGTCTTAGCTTCAATAATAAACTAGATGCGATTGAGCCTCAGCTTGATTCATTATCCATCTCCACCTCACCATATCAACAAAGTCCTATCATGACCTTTTCTTCCCCATCATCTACTACTTCTTCTATTGTTGGTTCACCATTAATTTCACCTATAAACGATGGCCCCTTTTTACTGCCACCACCAGATAGCAGTACACTACGTCGTTGTCGTTCTGTTTCCAACTCATCAATCACATCATCACCCACAAACTCACCTTATACATCATTTTCATTTCGTTCATTGTCGGAACCCCCTACTTTTAGCTTACCTCCTTCATCGACAGATGAAGAGGATGAAGGTGATGATCGAAATGATAATCGTAATGAAGATTGTCACCCCATTTTTGGACCCAAGAGAAAACGTGGTAGACCACCAAATGCTTCTCGGCCAGAAGTGCAAGCAGACAGCAATTACACATTTGTTAAACCGACCGTTTGGGATGTTGGACATAAACCACAAAAACAGAAACAATCGAACAATGATACCCCTCAATTTCTGACTGAGAACACTGTTTTATCAGACGGCATTAATACTTTTACAGCAACTAATATGAACATGGCCTTAAATATACCCAAAAAAAAACGAGGACGAAAGCCGAAAAAGCAACTGGAGGGCAACTCATGCTTTGTTTGGCGTGATTTGACTGCACCGCGTGGCGCTAACAAAAAGACATTACTATCGCAGAAAAAGAAAGAATCAAATCATAACAATGAGGGGAGCAGTAATACAGGCCAGTATTCATAGTGATATATATATATAACACAATTATTTGATGATTGTATTTCGAATTTAATTGAAATAAATCTGTACGCATATGCTTTATTTACGCCATTCAACAGCTGTCAAACATTGTTTATTTTGATGTACTTGAATTGACTATGTAGAATAACTTTCACTTATATAGCCAATCCTGTTTTTTTTTTCAATTTCAGGGAATGTCAAATGTTTAAACACAAAAAAGCTCTTTTTAGCTTAATGTAAACTATCCTATTCTCAAATATAAAAATATTTGTTAAGCACACTTCTGTAGATTTGTTCACTCGGATTACAGGTTTTTTCCGACTTTATCAAATAACCATAAATTTCAAATGGAACTCGAGTCAAGAATGCCCAGCTTTACAATTATAGTCAACTTATTACTTTCTTTTTCTTTCTTCTTTTTCTTCTTTACAAAGAAAACTACAAAAGCGATTGCCTTTTGTTCCTGACATGAATCAATCGGAAAATAACTCAGATGATCAACAGACAAAAGACATAAAGAAAAAAACCAATTTAAGAGTAGATACGTCAGATGTATCACAGCAGCAACAAGGATCTCAGCACATAAAACCAATCACGCCTTTATCTGCTTCAAAATCATATACCAATAGCATCAATAATAACAATGGTTCAAAGTCAAATAAACGCTTTGAATTGCCTTCTGACACTAGACCAGAAAGAACACAGCGTCCAGAAGATTTAAGAAGAGCTCAGTATCTAGTTGCAACACTTCAACATTCAAAAGACACAGATAAAGATGAAGATGAGAACAATAAAGAGAGTCCAGAAGCAAAAAGCAAAAAGAAAAAAATCAAAAGGAAGCCACCTACTTGTTGGGTAACAATAAGTTGGATTTTGACATGGTGGGCACCGCCTTTTATGCTCAAGACGTTTGGTAACAGAAAAAAAAACACGGATGTTATTATTCATATTTTTTTAAATTAGGCATCAAAGACAAGGGCATGCAACAAGCTTGGAGAGAAAAAGTATCTTTAGTTCAAATCATTATCTTTTTATGTGCCATTGTGGGATTTTTGACCTTTGGCTTTAATGCAACAGTATGTGGCAGACAAGCCAATCGTATTCGGCCTACTGGCGTAGAATACAGTCATATTGTGATCTCTGGTAGAGCTTTTGATCTTAAATCATTTAGACATCCAACACCTGTCATTGGTATGCCCGGAAGTGGTGATCTTCAAGAATTAGGTGTCGGCGGTCGTGATCTTTCATTTCTTTTCCAAACAGTCAACTACAACTGCAAAGGCATTCTGAATCCTATTCAAGCTGATGATGAAAAGGGCAATGTCGCTAACTACTTTCCCTGTGTGACATTGGACCGAAATAAACCCTCTATCAATTCAACAGACAACCCAGAACGTCATGGATGTCACATTAGCACGAAATCTCGTTTGGCTTTGCGTCGACTTGAAGTCATTGGTGATGTTTATTATAATTGGACAGACATTCAAAAACCTGGTACCAGTTTAGTTGCTTTTAATGGGTAAAAAAAAAAAAAAAAAAAAAAAAAAAAAAAAAAACAAGATACTTGATCGAATCTTATTCTTTTTTAGCAACGTTTTAGACTTGTCTCGACTTCGTTACCTTACACCTAATATTCCTTTACCTGTTTCAGTAGCACAGATTGTAGGTCCAGGAAGTGCTTTTATTGGTCGAGATGCTACTTACTGGCTTAGTACTACAGCTGATCGTCTTCAGATTGGTAAATGTCTGACAGATATTCTCAAGGTGGGTGTGGTTGATACACGTTCGACTGGATGTATTATTTCCGACATTGTCTTGTGGGTCTCTCTTGCTGTTATTTTAGGCGTAGTCTTGATTCGCTTCTTTTTAGCACTTATGTTTGGTTGGTTCGTTTCATGGAAATTAGGCAGCATACGAGAAGAAACAGACGAAGATCGACGTAAACGACAAGAAAACGTGTTGGCATGGGAAATGAACAATGCTGAAGAAATGCACTATCCTCGGACACAAAGTATTTCTTCCATTCCAGTCAATTCAGTCGTGACTCAAACAGGGCCTGCCGTCTTGACACCTTTAACAGCTGCTGATGTAAGAAAAGTGTTTGGCACAGACGATGTATTACAATCACCTCAAGTTCAAAAAGCCAAACGACGTTTTTTCCCCACCACCTCTCGATTCACACAACCTAACTCACCTCGGTCTATCAATGGCTCAGGTCAATTTGGTACTCCTTCAAGCTTATTTGATGGAAATTATAGTAACATTGGCTCCCCTATGGCACCTCGTAGTTCATTTGGATTACCTCAAGTAGGCGAAGGTTGTGTGGCAAGTAATTACAACTTCAACTTTGATTTGATCCATACATTTATGGTCGTCACTTGCTATTCTGAGGGCGAGGAAGGGTTGCGGACAACATTGGATTCCTTGGCTAACACAGACTACCCTTATACACATAAGCTACTGCTGGTCATTTGTGATGGTATCATCACAGGTTCTGGTAATGGTAGCTCAACACCTGACATTGTCTTGTCCATGATGAAAGACGACTTGGTGCCTCGAGAACAAGTTCAGCCTTCTTCCTATGTGGCTATTGCAGATGGCGCAAAGCGCCACAATATGGCTAAAGTCTATGCTGGTTACTATAGCTACAATCAAGATACATCAAGTCATTTGGGTGTAGTCCCTGAAGAACAGCAGCAAAATGTGCCTATGATTGTGATAGTCAAGTGCGGTACAGAAGCAGAAGCGACAGACAAGAAGCCTGGTAACAGAGGAAAGCGTGATAGTCAAGTCATTTTGATGAACACAATGCAAAAGGTGTATTATGGTGAACGCATGTGCGATTTAGAATATCAGTTCTGCAAAGCTATCGTCAAATTAACAGGCCATCATCCATCTATTTTTGAGACTTGTCTTATGGTCAGTAGAACAGTTTATTTTGATGTTTTATTTAACTTTATATCTAGGTGGATGCTGATACAAAAGTGTATCCTGATTCACTCGCTAGAATGATTGCTTGTATGTCAAGAGATCCTTATATTATGGGTCTTTGTGGAGAAACCAAGATTGCAAACAAAAGTGACAGTTGGGTCACTGCTATTCAAGTATTTGAATACTATATCTCTCATCATATGAGTAAGGCTTTTGAATCTATTTTTGGCGGTGTTACTTGCTTGCCAGGTTGTTTCTGTATGTATCGTATCATTGCACCTAAAGGTGATCGCTATGTTCCTATCTTTTGCTCTTCAGATATTGTTGAAATGTATTGTGAAAATGTGGTTGATACTCTGCATAAAAAGAACTTGTTGCTCTTAGGTGAAGATCGTTATTTGACGACACTTATGCTCCGTGCTTTTCCTAAGCGAAAAATGATGTTTGTTCCTCAAGCTGTAAGTATATATACTCTATAGAACAATAAGTGATTGACTTGAACAGGTATGCAAAACGGTTGTACCTGATACATTTAGTGTCTTGTTATCCCAAAGAAGAAGATGGATCAATTCTACTGTGCATAACTTGCTTGAACTTGTCTTGATTCGTGATTTATGTGGTACTTTCTGCTTTTCCATGCAATTTGTTGTTTTTATGGAACTTGTGGGCACGGTTGTTCTTCCAGCAGCCATTTCATTCACGATATATCTCATCATCATTTCATTCTTTGTGACACCTGTGCCTATCATCCCATTACTGTTGCTGGCAGCTATCTTGGGTCTACCTGCTATTCTGATTGCCTTTACTACACGCAAAATGGTCTATGTGGGTTGGATGTGTGTCTATCTGCTCTCGCTTCCTATTTGGAATTTTGTGTTGCCTGCTTATGCTTACTGGCATTTTGATGATTTCTCATGGGGTCAAACGCGTGTTGTCGAAGGTGGAGAAAAGAAAGAGGACCATGGTCGTCGGGAAGGTGAGTTCGACAGTACAGGTATTACTATGCGTCGATTTGAAGAGTGGGCAAGATATGAGCGAAAACTATTAGCAGAAGAGCGCATGTCCTCATCCACAGTGGCAAGAAATTACCCCAAAGTTTATTATGGTCATTAGATAAAGAGATCGACATTTGCTATTATTATTTCTGCTAGTTGTAATAAAGGCGTAGTTTTTGAAAAAAGCGTACTGAATTGATCGACATAGGATGTTGTAATTGAAAAGTAACATAAAGAGAAGTCTTGTTGGGATTCTTTTGTTTAAACAAAAGGCCATGTCGCAAAGGGAGTAATCGAACCCACATTTCTTCATCACCACATATCAAATGTAAGTATTTGCAAGTTGGAAAACGAAAACTTATTTGCTTTAGCCTATGGAGCCCCTTAAAGTCCCATATCCATGACCTATTTTCAGCAGCAAAAACTCTTGGTAAAGACATACCTTGTGTAGAAATATGACAGACAAATCGAGCCAGATGAGGAGACAGGTCTAAAATGCGCTGCAGAACATGAAAAAACTGCTTGAGGGACACAATCATGCTTTGATCTGTAAACAAAGAGCGTATTTCATACCCATCAGAGGTAGCACGTCGAACCAAAGACCATTTTTCCAACACGAAATCTTCTAATGCACACGGTTTGCAAAACATATCTAAATTCCAGTCTGGTTTCAAGTCGGCCAAGTGGACTGCACCATAGCCTACGGAGAGTTGTTTAAGTTGCGGTGCTGCGTTCAGGAGAAGCACAAGTAGTCGAAGATCATAAGGGCCACTTTGTTCAGTATTGGCCAAGTGTAAACAAGTCAAATGCGGGAATTGTTGAATTGATGGAGGGATACTTTGGTTGTAGATATAGCAGGGATCATGATCAGGATCTTGATTTGTTAATGTAAGGCGTTTTACTTGGCTTGTGATTCTGCTGGACAAATTTATAGCGTAAAGCTGATCTTGGACTATTTCTGTGTTGATAAACACGTTTAGGTCAACAATGCGTGTCCCTAAAGCATGGGCAAAGCTGTCGGATACTGGATAGATATCGATAGAACACGACTCTAATTTTGACAATGCTTTTAGCGTACGTGCCAGAGATGCTTCATAAGTCAAAAGTTCATCCACATACCAGTGGGCCATAAGATGAGTCATGAATTGAATACTTCTCAAGTGGATATACTTTTGAGATATATAATGAAGCCAGCTTTTGATGATATGCGTATTGCCAAAATTTGGATCTGTCGGTTCAAAAGAAATAGAAAGGTCTTCCAATGAGTCTGCTGGATAGAACGTAGAGACATATGGTAATATAAAATCAGTTTTGTGATCAACGTCTGAAGGGCGCAACGTCTTTGATCTATAGTTTAAGCATAATGTCCTTAAACGAGGTGTGTTTTTGTGTAGTATCTCCAATAGGGAAAAAGGAAAACAGATGTTGCTCAAGTGAAGGGTTTCCAGATGAGGCGCATTTTTAAGGCCATGAATAAGACAGGCCATCTTTTGATCTTCTTTGTTGTTGTTGCTCATATAGAGACGCTTATACATGTTTCGACAATATTCCACTTGAAGCAAAGTCAAATGTGTCAAACAAACAGACTGAAGTAACGCTGTTGCTACTGAGAAACCAGAAGCATGTTCACATATGGACTGTATTTTGGACCAATACTCCGTATGTTTGGGCAGGATAGAACAATCATACTTTGTGCTATAACGTGAATAATGGTTTGTCAAAGTGAGAGATCGCATGTTGGGAAGTACATGCATCATGGTTGAAACTAAACCTGGATCAAGTGACAGTGTGTTGAGATGCAGTTGGGTTACTTGATGCGCAACATTGTTTTCTTGCAATTTCGTTAGTTTTTGACTAAATGAATAGCGACACTTGAGTACTTCAAACAGATGGCAGCGCTGAAATGCTTTGTACCATCGACGACAAACAGTGATGCAAGTTATCTTTTCACGAAATGTTAATTGATTAACGATAAAAGTGAGAATCTCGGCTGGTAGTCGATCCATTGCTCAATCGTATAACAAAGAGGGTCTGCATAAAAAAAAAAAGAACCCGTCATGTTCACGTCTAAAGCGGGCAATTTCCTTCACTCTAAAAGTGTCCTTTTTATTTTTATTAATATCATCTTTTGATGGGTATAAAACCAGATCTATCGCTATTTAACTGAAGGCGATGATATCTCAAGACAGAATCACAGACTGTCAACAACACTTGAATGGCATCTTTGGATCTCACCGAGAATTCATTCCAAAACCTGTTTGGATTTAAACGAAAGACACCAATATCAATAATCAATTGGATCAGTCTCAGTCCTAACTTCATTGATTCGACTGTATGACGCTTATTGAGCAACACAAGCAGATTGGTCAACACCACAACTTCGGCATACGGTGTCCGAAGTGGTTCCTGTATCTCGACAAAAAACATGTTGGCGTAGCTCAAGGCTTTTTCAAGAGTAGGTGCATATCGAATCAAGGTAAATAAGCCTCGTTGAAAAGCGCCTATATCAATGCTGCCTTGTCTTTTATGCTTTGCTGTTTCCCGCAAGTACTTGAAAATGATTTCACCATGTTCAAATTTGTTCTTATCTCTGACTTGTTTCACGAGCAACTTTTCTAATTCAAGCGCCTCTATTTTCTCACCATTTTCTATTCTTTCCAAGATCTTTGCAAGATCCTCATCAGCAAAAGGTTTGTTCATGATAGAAAAAAAAAAGACGCATTTAATGCACTAACACAGAATTTTTTTTTTTTTTGGCACCAGATTTCAAACTCATCGTCTCGACTACTTTTTTCATTCTTTCTTATACATTTTATATGACACCTCGTATATCACAGTCTATTGTTATACTTTCGGGCGTTTTGACAGGTATTGCTGCTATTGCTGCGTTGTCTTACTATAGACATGATTCGTCTAATGCACCATTCAACAGCAGCAATACCAATCCTTCTACAGAAACAACCAACAGACCCGTGCGACTTCGACGCTCTCGTCCTGCTCGAAGAAGAAGAAACAGAACAGCACCCGAAGACAATGAGACGATAATGTCCGATACAGAAGACAATTTAGACAACCGGAAGATGCTTTCACTATTTAAGGAATGGGGAGACGATGACAATCGCAACTTGTTGAATCTATTACATGCTATTTCTGAAAACCAGTCTCGGAAAGGTAAATGCGTTAGATAACATGATAGAAAACTCATACGGATCTATAGAGGGCTTCATTCATCGTATGTAATATGGGATATGCATATTGACAATTAACTGTTTAGGTGGTATTACATGCAACAAATGCAACATGTCACCTATACGAGGTGTTCGGTACAAGTGTGCGAATTGTGTAGATTTTGATCTATGCGAGATGTGCGAAGGATCCAACACGCATGTAAATACACACGTGTTCCTTAAGATCCGTATTCCCATTCCACCCCTAGCCAATCCTCGAAGTGCTTTATTACCAGCATTTTATCCAGGTAAACACCACAACAAACCACCCCTTACTACCGAGAAATACCGAGAATTACAGCATACATCGCATTGTAAGCCCCAACAACAACAACTGAATCTATATAACTGACATAGTGTCCTTAGTTGACCAAGTAGAATTAGAAGCACTGTACGAACAATTTAAATCGCTCTCGACTGTCGATGGAGATGAGGGTGGCATTGACCGAGAAACGTTTGAACAATGCCTCGGTCCTTTAGGACTTGAAAAGAACCTGATTACAGAAAGAATATTTGCATTTTTTGATCAAGATGGAGACAACATCATCAGTTTCCCTGAGATTGTTGCTGGTCTTAGTGTGCTCTGCAAAGGCAATTTAGATGAAAAGATAGAGTGTAAGCATAAGCGTACATTCATACTCAAGCTAACCCTTATAAGATGCATTCAAAGGCTATGATTTGGATGAAGATGGCTATATTTCTCGGGACGAACTGTTTCGTATGTACAAATCGTATTTCTATCTATCTATGGAACTCGTACGCGATGTGGTGAGTGCTATGGAAGATGAAATGATGGACACTTTTGAATTTTCTGCTTCACAACCTGTGAGTGCTGCATTTAATGTGGCTATGCCATCCACTCCCTCCGACAGAAACAACAGTGATGAAAGTGAGGAAGAGACAGCAGGACCCTCCAATAAAAGACTTAGAAATAGACGATATCCATTAAAAGAGGACCATTTCCTACGACAATATGCTATTGAGGCAGAACAAGCAAGAGCACTCTCGAACGCATCAGAAGCACAAATGAATGCCATGACAGATGGCGCATTGCGATCCGACAGTCAACGACTGGATCTATCTAAACGTTATACAGACGAACAAGAAGATCAAAAAAAGCAACCACAGGGCAAGAAGGCTTGGGAAGAAAAGTTCCCTATCATGGAGACCATGTCTCAAGGTGCTATTAATGAAATGGTAGACAAGACATTCAAGAGCATCAAGACAGAAAAAGAAGGATACATTAATTTTAAAGAGTTTAAAGAATGCGTTCAATCTGACTCGAGTATTGTGAGTTGGTTTGAAGCATTAGGCACTGTATTTTAATAAACATCTTTCTTGATGCCTGTACCATTCTGATGAATAATGACACTCTCTGATACATCAGCATAAATATCAAATCTGCGTTGATCATATAATGGGATATTCTTACGGACTTCGCGTACTTGTTCAGGATCTATGGCACATATAAGATATGTAATGTTTAGTCATACCACACTTACCAATGTCAGCATAAACAATGGTCTCCTTATCTTCACAAGTAGCGATGACAACACCCCTAATTCAGTTATGTTAGTCTCTACTCCGTCCTGTATTTTGTGACTTATACTTTGGATCAACCACGGTGGAATGTCCCCATGCATGATAAGAAGCAGAGAGATCACGAGCAGGAGAACAAGCAGCAACATACATTTGATTGTCTACAGCTCTATACATATCAATCTTATTTAAACAGCATGAACTACCATACATTTACCTGGCACGCTGCAATAATTCCCAATGAAGTGGACCTGTTGTCATGTTAAATGCACCAGGATAAATCATGGCCAAACATCCTTTTCTAGCAGCAATCATAGCCATTTCAGGGAATCGGATATCATAGCAAATACCAACACCAATCTTTCCATATTCTGTCATGCACTATTACTGACTCTGATAGCTCTTTGTTTTACTTACTGGTATCAACATGCGTTAACCAATCACCACCTGTCAAAATATCACTTTCCTATAGTGTGTTTGTCTTAAGTCAATACAAACACGCATGACTTACCTTGAATTTGATCTTTCCAGGTACATCAATATCGAATAAATGTACTTTACGATGCTTGGCAATCATGTTACCAAAAGGATCATAAGCTGTTAATGTGTTGAATATCTTTCCACTTGACTCTTCTTTTTCAGGAATAGATCCACCAATAAGGTATACATTGGCTTCCTATGCTTTGATAAATAAAAAAAAAAACGAAACATTTGGATTTTTACCTTGGCAGTTTTAGATAACATAGTAACAGATTCACCACCTTCTAATGATTCAGCATAATCGGGAAAGAAGTTCGTGCCATAAGGTGAATTAAAGCATTCCTGTATATTGAGTACGTGTTCCTACAATACAAAACTTACGGGCAAGACAACCACATGAGCACCGTGATTGGCTGCTTCAAGAATCTTTTCTCGAGTATGAGCCAAATTCTTCGTTTTATCAGCACCCACAGCACCCAACTGAATAAGAGCAAGTTTAAAAGGAGAAGCAGGAGAGAGAACACTCGACATTTTTTGAATAAGATTCATAAAGAATAGAAAAATAAAAAAGTGATATGCGATTGTATCGAGATTTCCTTAGCAACCAATCAAATCACAGCATGGTGGTGCCTGTGGTTCAATGACTCACTCCCACACAAAAAAGGAAACCTGATGTCATTTTCAAAGTCATCCACTGCATGATTTTTTTTCCTATCGTTCTCCTCTCTTCTTTTTTTCTTTAATATGAATATGCAAACGAATGATGACCGATTAACTTTTCTTCTGCCTCGACCTGCTTGGGTCAACGATATGGATGTCCATTGTTGTTCTTCTTGTAATAGTGTGTTTGGTCCTTTAAAACGAAGAGTAAGACACAATATACAACAACCTTGTTTCTAACTTCCCCCTTATCTCGTAGCATCACTGTAGGAACTGGTAAGCATAATTGGTTTGCATTAAATAGCATGAACTTATCTATTCATTCAGTGGTAATATATTTTGCCATGAATGCTCAGCTCGGAGTGTGCCTTTGCCTCAGCTTGGTTACGGTACAAAACCTGTTCGGGTATGCAACAGCTGCTTTGATGTTGCTTATCTTGTTACCTATGCTATTGATGAGGATCATGGTCTGTCCACACAGGTAAATAGCTACTTTTGTCCATAATCATGACTCTCATTCTATCACTTAGATGCATGGTGTTCGAGGATTATTAGAATTGACTGAGAAAGATAATGGTAAGAATAAGAATACTGTATTTTTATGCTTATATGATGGCAGAAAAAGATTTACACAATATGGTGGCTTATGGTGGTGTGGATGCACTTATTTGGCTTTGTCGTTCTTCTAAAAGTATTCGACTCCATCATCTTACTACCACCATTTTAGCCATGTTGGCAGAAAAGGAATCGATTCGACCTGTCATTATCACCAAATGGGCATTGCCCCCTCTTTTGTTTCTTGTCCGCTTTTATACCACAGATCATAAAAAATCCCCAGCCAATTCAATTCATTCCAGCATCACACCTACATTGACAAACAGTAATATACCTTCCGACACAACACAGACTTCTGAGTCTCGACAAAGTATTGTGTTGGAAATCGTGATTAACTGCACTCATATCTTGTATCAACTCTCAAGAGCAGGTATTCTCAGTCAAAAGGAATTAGTATCGGATGGTGTGTTCGATACCTTACTCAACTTGGCTGGTTTTCATATCCAGAATCTACAGTATGAAAAAGGAGTTGTAGAGGGTTCACCTATTCCTACCAACAGTGATGATGAGCAGCAACTTCATGAGCGTGTCAATATCATTCAAAGTCTTGCTGCAAAAGCCATTTCAGCCATTAGTTCATTGGTTTCATTCCAGCCTACCATGATTGAATTGATTGAAGGCACTGATCGGTTATCGAGTTTATTGAGATCTCAGAATGCAGAAGTACGTAAATATGTGGCCAAAACAATTGCTTATTTATCACTTCGAAATGGTAATGAAAAAAGACATATATTTATCTATATATATGTATATATTTATTTAGTTATTTTATTTTTAAAACTAGATAAATACAAGCCAACACTTCTTTATGGTGATGGATCTAAAGCACTTGTATCTATTCTAGCTGTGTTACCTCAAGAGATAGACACAAAGGAATTGACCTCAGGAGACACAAAGAGTCCAGAACATCAACAGGGCTTAAATTCAGCTGCAGTCTCTCATGCATGTTGTGCCTTGGTAAAACAATTGAACTACGTTTTTCATGCAACTCATAATTTATTTGTATATAGGCTAATTTCGCCACAAATCGTAAAATACACACATTTGATAAACCATTGACTCATATCACTT